CTTTTGAAACATGAGAACCACCCCTAGTAACGGGCATAGGCCCAGATCAATATCTATTTTGATTTGAAACTCATAGAAAGAAAAAGAATATGGTGGGAAGAGAAGGAAAAGTGTTATTACAAGCTTTGAGAGTCCCGAAGTTGAGCTGTTTGAGTGGACGTGAATGGTTCTTCACTTTATTAAAGTTTTCTTTGTTAGGAGTCATCTCTTAATAATTTGTTGATGCTTGATTTTGACACTAACTAAACGCACGTGTAAAATACTGAGCTGGCCCAGAAGACACAAGTGAATGGGGGATTGAGAATGTAAATGGTGGAAAGACAATGTTTAAAGTGGTTCGGATGCTTATACAAGCAAATCTTACGTCCACTGATATTGTATTTATATTTGAAGGATCAGGTCGCGACTTAGTAAGCTGACTTTAGAGTGTTAAGAATACAAATGAGAGAGAGAGAGAGAGAGAGAGAGAGAGAGAGAGAATAAGTTATTACAGAGAGAAGATAGCTAATTAAGAGTAAAAATGAGTCAATCTCCAAACGAGAGAGAAGCTCTCTATTTATAGTGGGATACATTGAGGTAATGATTACTAAATCCATAAAAAGGGAGTCAGGTACCGTGTAAATCCTTTTTTGCGTCCCGTTATTCACCTATTCACGTGATTTCCCCGTTTCATGCAGGGATTGGACTCATGGACGACCTCCAGCCTCTCGCTAGTCTGGCGCGCACCCACTGCACTAGCAGGAGCATGCTGCTCATGCCAGCATGCGACGTGGCTGTGCCTGAATGACCGTAGGATCTGCCTATACTCTTGACATTTTGTGCTGACTGGGCCCTGCGTCAGCCCTACTTTTTCAAGCATAACATAATTGTTCACCAAGACGTAGCTGATCTGATTTAAGAAGATGATACTGATTGTGCTGAGGAGTTGGGATGTTGAGGTGGATTGATTGTACAAATTTCTCGGCCAATTTCCTTGTCGTTGGCCACCAATCCACTTGCCTTTAAAACACGCCTACTAACTGTTCGATTTTTTGCCCCTACCAACAAATCTCGGCACCTGATGAATGAAACTCCAACCCCTTGCATGATCGATCACGACTATTGTGCGACCTCACCACCCACACATTGCTGCAACTACCCAGCCCCCCATCTCCCCACCTCCATTCACCCCAATCTAGCCGTCATCACTCACCATCGGCACCCCACCATCCACTTGTGTGTGACTACCGTCTGTGATTTTTCTAGGTTTTGTCTTTTGATTTTGTCGATTGATTGTTTGGTTGTGTGAGGAAGTTTGATTGGTGGTTGAAGATAATGAATTTTGTCGATTTGGGTGACAAATCTGACAGAGATCCATAGAAAAGGACTGGCACCGGCAAAGGCGGTGAGTTGGGAGAGGGTGCATGAAATCTGGGATTTAGAATTACTATTTTACCCTTTAACCGTTACTTTAAACAAATTTCTATTAATTAAAGGGTGAAAATGGGAATATATGAAACCAGGGGTGGGCACTGTGATATCGCTAAACCTTGGGTGGGTAAATGTCGTTCAGAACGCTTTGCACATGGGTCTTTGAATATTCTCAATGTGATTTATCAATGTTTTGATACTTGTTCACAAGATAATCTTAATTAATAATAAAATAATATCATACTCTAATAACCAGGAGTAGGTAAATTTGATTCAATTTATAATTTGTGAAAAACACCACACAACAACTTGATATTCGATTTATTTATAAATTAATTAATTGTGTTGCCAAGTGAAGTCAATTTGATTACTACATGAGTTGAAAGTCATCTTTTATAGGAAAACTACTTTAACAATAATTTCAATACTCTATTTTTGGATTTAATTTTTATAAATAGATAGGGTTTCTGTGAAATAAAAAAAAAAAAAGTCCAAGAGTATTGGGCTGGGACGCCTCCGAACCTCCCCCAAGCGTTTGATGCTCAGGCTATTCACGAGGATCTTGATCAGTGGATGAAGCGAAAGGATGAAGAGTTCGCCAAATTCATGGTGGCTCGCAAGAAGACTTTTGATCGACTTGACTTTCATTTGATGAAAATAAAATAAAATATCAAAAATTCAAATGATTGAACCTAAAGGATCTCTTTTAGAATAAATGTACATATTTTTTATACAAACTGACATAATATAATATGATTGAATTATGAAAAACTAAGGATAAATTATATAAATTAATATAAACAATATATCCAAAATGTGCGACTCTCACATCAACTTGTAGGAAATAATTAGTATGATTAGTTAATGATATACACATTCTAAGCCATTAGAAATGGATTCCAAATCTACAAATAGATAATGGTTTTCAATGTAACACCAGGAAATGACAACTTGTCTATATGATGTCGTTTTGATGGGCTACAAATGTTTCCATATTGTGCTTCTTTCCTTATTTGAACAATAGGGTCCAATTAGGTTTTATTATTTATTGTAGTGGGTTTAGATTTTTGTTTGTTCTTGAATTTGCCTTTGATAATTTACAAAAGGATCTCTTGTCTTGTGGACCTAGAGCTCTAGGATTGGTCACCACATAAAATTATGCTACTTTTGTTTCCTATCAACTTGCCTTAAAAAAATATCATTCTGTGTCCATCATTAGTTTTGTTTCCTATAAACTATAAATATATCATATTCTAGAGCCAATAGTTTTGATGTTATTTGACATAAAATCTAAATCAATAATGTCAGGTCTACAACTCAATCTTACAACATCCGATATGATAATTTGATATTGGTTAACTCGCAAATAGGTAGGTAGAACCCATTTTGCGAGTTGATCAATGATGAGTTGTCACGTTGAGGGTTATGAGTGTGGGTTGTGGATTTAGAATTATTCAATTCAAATTTCTGTCTAGTTGAATTATCCACAACTGCAAAAATGTATTAGAGACCATTAACAATTATATCTATGCCTAATAATTTATATGGGTTTTGTTACGTACAGTACAACTATGTATCTATACATCAACACAAAGTTTATTAACTTGTAATGTCAATCTTGTAAATAAGAAATATGCAACTTGTAAAATGTAACCACCACTAAATAATCTGATAGTAAAACAGTAAAAAGAAGTTTAATAAGTTCTTGAGTTCAAGTCTCTAGGCATTAATAGGAACAACCATTGGTACTCTAGCTCAACTAACAGTTCTAGGGCCCTCTGACCCTTACCCTCGGTGATAAAAAAAAAAAAAAAAAAAAAAATTGTAAAATGTATTTGAACAATGATGTACAACAGGCAAGGCCATATATATATATACAATTAGATGCTGATCGATAATTGGAATTTGGAAGTACAAGTTGTATAAGAATGGTTAAAAGCATCTTATGATTACGAAGGAATAAATGTGTACTTGACCAATTTGCAAATCTAAATTAAGGTTGGTACCAATTGTATCATAGTAAAGTAGAAAGAGAGAGCATCCTTAAATTCCCAATGGAATATCATTCTCTCTCTCTTCCCTTTGTATTGATTGAATTAATTCTTACAATCCTAGATAGTAAATTCGTATATTATTCGTAAATTATTTCCGTATCTAAATTTTTGTTAAATTTTTACAAACATATTTTTCATTGTTTGCCGTATCATATCCATACCTTTTTTTTGTCATACCCGTATATTTAAAATGCTATATATATTTTAACCAAATGGCCCATAAAAAGTGCTAAAACTATAATTGATATTGTCATATTTTTCAAAACATATTATTGACAATGTGTCGTATTAAACCGGTATATACCTGTACCATATTTTTTTCGTATCCGAATTTTTACAAAAGTATTTTTCATCATTTACCGTTTCATACCCGTAAAATTCCTGTACCCTTTTTTTGTTATACCCAAACTTACTAACTAGGCTTAGAACATCTCTAAATGGCTTTTTATATGACTCAAACTCTTTATTATACAGAATTTGACCATAAAAACAAGAGTTCAATAAACTCTTTATTCTTTAAATATAAATTAAAGAGTAAGTTTGACATTTTACATCTAGAGAGTCAAATTTCACTCTCGCGCTCAACTTTATTTAATAAATTACAAGTTTTTATGTATTTTATTATTAATTTTTTCTCCAATTTATTAAGTCTAATTTAAAGAGTCTATTGGATTTGAATACAAATTTTGTTCTTTATATTTATAAATTAATAAAAATGCTATTTATTTATGTGAAATATGTTCTTTAAAATAAAGAGCACCATTTGAGATGCTCTTATTATTCATGCATCAAACTAATTATTTTTCTTTTTTTATAAATACCAATAAGATTTATAATTTTTGAAATATTTTTTAGGCTTTTTATATATTTTATATGATAATTTGTATTGTATTGGTTTTTAAAAAAAATAAAAACACAGTTTACCAATATATTACTCAATATTTCTATTCTTTATGTTATCATCAAATTATCAGCCTAAAACACTTACTTTGATTGGAGGGTTAAAGATGTTTATTTCCTTTCTTGAATTTTTAGGTTCAAATCTCGTGATCAGATAAATCATAATAGTTTATGGGTTTAAATCTCGAGACCACCTATCACAATAATATCATAGCTATTTTAATCACAATAATATTATGGTTTATCTAATCATTTAGGTTTATATGTTATTCAATAGAATTTAAGGATTAGTTGAGGTATGCATCAACTGGTCGGATACCCCACTTACCAACCAAAAAAAAAAAAAAAAAACACAACACTAATCTTAATCCAATCGCGCACTTTATTAGACTAATTAACCCCATTTTAATTAATTAAACTTAATCCCACGTTAATTAAACTAACTTCGATATCCTCCGTCGCACTACAATCTAATAAACTAAATCTACCCTCTTCTTTTCCGCCACGTCACCCACCAACTCACCGCGGAAATTTTAACCTAACCCCCAGTTAAAATTTAACTCCGCTCGCAGTTATTATTAAAAAAGCGCAAAACGACAACAAACCGCGGCTTTAAAACCAGGTGCACATCGTCGACTCGACTCGTATCACTCGCTTCTAATTCATTTTCGTTTTTTAAAACCCTTTCAGAAGACGACAGCTAACCACCCGCTGTAGAGATGGCCGTGTCGTCGTTCTCGTGTCCGAGAGTCTTCTCCTTCTCGTTTTCCTCTTCGTCATCGTTTGAATGCCGGTCCGATCCTGACTTCTCCGGTTCGGCGAGGTTCGAGAAGCCGAGGATCTCGGCCCGAGCCGTTGGTACGGCGTCGTTCAGCGGCGTGTCGTCTATGATCTTAAGGTTTCCTCCGAACTTCGTGCGCCAGCTCAGCAATAAGGCGAGGAGGAACTGTAGCAATATTGGTGTGGCGCAAATTGTGGCGGCTTCGTGGTCAAACAACGCGGCTTCAGGTTCTTCCACCTCGGCGGCGGCGGCCTCCGGATCGGCTGCCGCTGCTGCTATCCCCGTCCCTGCCGCGCCGGTTGAGACGACAACCGGCGGTGAAGTGGCGATGGTTGACGGTGTGAATAATGTACAGATGGAGGCTCTCGCCGATTTGAAAAACGAGGCCTCGTTTTTGAACTTCGATGGGAGCATCGCAATTCATGCTGGTGTGTTTTTATTTTAATTAATTTTATGTTTGCTGCTTTTTTTGAAAACATTTTCCTGTGCAAAAAACAATTTTTTTTATATTGTATTAATATCTTGATACAATAGAACAAATATTATAAAAAAAATATTTGTCTTTAGCAAACTATCCGTTTTAAAATGAGTTTTTATTATTATTCTTATTATGATTAAGGAGAAAAGTCTTCTACAAGATGAGATTACCATACTTATTACAACGAAGTGTGACAGGGTTTTAATGGATATGCATTTGGTCCCGCTTAAGATTGATTTTAGGTTGATTCGGGAATTAAATGAGTAGTTGGTATGGGGAGTTAAAAGAAATATTATTGAGTTTTTGTTTTTTGTTGTTATTAATTTCCAGGTGAAAGGTTAGGTCGCGGTATTGTGACTGATGCAATTACTACCCCGGTGGTGAATACATCTGCCTACTTCTTTAAGAAAACTGCTGAGCTTATTGATTTCAAGGTACATTTCTGCATTTCTTGATAAAATGTCCTAAATTTTTGTTGTTGCTCAAGTACTAAGCATGTTTCTTTATGAATGGTAATTCATTAATATTTCTATGTCATTGGGGCAGGAAAAACGCCGTGCAAGTTTTGAATATGGGAGGTATGGAAACCCAACAACCGTTGTTGCAGAGGAGAAGATTAGGTATGCCAAGTTATGTTTTCTTTTTCGAAAATAAATGTTTTAAGTTGTAAATTTTGAATGTTTTAACGTTATGGTGGTGTGTTTGGGGATCCAGTGCCCTGGAAGGGGCTGAATCAACTGTGATTATGGCATCTGGGATGTGCGCTAGTGTAGTTATGTTAATGGCATTGGTTCCAGAAGGTGGTCATCTTGTTACAACCACTGACTGCTACAGGAAGACTCGGATTTTCATTGAGACTGTTCTTCCCAAGATGGGGATCAAGGTATGGGATTCTTTTTATGCCATTATTGAATTCAGTCATGTTCTGTCTTAGAGGATTCAAAATCTTTTCCATTTCATTGATACTCTCTTGTTTCATTATGATGGTTATTCTAAATTAACAAATGTGTTATTTCTCTTAGTCTTTGTATTTAAGCAGTTATGGTGCACTTATTTATGTGACATATAGTGGAATGTAGTTCAGAGATTCAGGGTAATTTCAGAGATTCAACTTATGTTTTTTATTTCATCTGATATGCAGGCTACGGTAATCGATCCAGCAGATATGGCTGGGCTGGAATCAGCACTTAGTAACGACGATGTAAGTAGTGTGGAAACTGGTTTGAAAATGACTAGCAACAATCAGCTTTCTTTTTTTTTTTTTTTTGCTTTTTACTTTTCAATGCCTCCTTTCTGTTTTACTTTGAAAATGATTAGTGATCTAAGTTCAGTGTCTTTTTAATTCATGCAGGTTTCGCTTTTCTTCACCGAGTCTCCTACCAATCCATTCCTAAGATGTGTTGATGTCAAATTGGTTACAGAGCTTTGCCACAGGAAAGGAGCACTGGTGTGCATAGATGGCACATTTGCAACACCCCTCAATCAGAAGGCCCTGTCTCTTGGTGCTGATCTTGTCCTGCACTCTGCTACAAAATACCTTGGTGGCCACAATGATGTGAGTCAATTTGTATCTATCAACCATCTGGTGGAAAGAGTTCTTTGAACTAATCTGTCAATTTCATAAACCTGAATGCTGAAAATTAAATTCTCTCTTCCAGGTCCTTGCTGGTTGCATTAGTGGTTCAGAGAAGGTGGTTACTCAAATTCGTAATTTGCATCATGTTTTGGGTGGTGCACTCAACCCGGTGAGTGATCTTAATTAGTCGGACATGTAGGTCATAAGCATAGTCCAGAATTGGTTAAACTTATTCTTCATTCTAAGATTAATCATAATTTTTATTGAAACTTTTACGATGGTATGTGCCTTGAGCTAGGACACTTTGGTCCAAAACTAGATTTTTGATGGTGCTTTAAACATGCGTTTTTAAGAGCCAATAGTCGTTTGAGGATTTGTTCTTTACATTGAAACTTTCGTGCAGCTTGAGGTTGCAGAATACTAATTTGTACTGTACTTACATTGTCATTTTCCATTGACAGAATGCTGCGTATCTGATTATTCGAGGCATGAAGACACTACATCTTCGTGTACAGCAACAGAATTCAACTGCAATGAGGATGGCCGAGATTTTAGAGGCACATCCTAAGGTACGGCCTATCATCAAATTTCTACCATTTTATTTTGGAGGAAAATTTTGATGTGAGTGGGTACATCTTACTGCTGTAGCATTTTCTTGTTGTGAATGATAATATTGTAATTAAAACATTGAAATTATAGGAAATATGTTTGATAAATTGCATGTATATTTCCTTTATAACAATTGTATTTCAAGGGTTGATGTGGCATCATTTACAGGTGAAGCAAGTCTACTATCCAGGTTTAACAAGTCATCCTGAACATCACATTGCCAAAAAGCAAATGACTGGATTTGGTGGCGTTGTCAGTTTTGAGGTGAGTATTTCTGATGTTGTCACCGCACACACACCTGAAAAGAAAAAGGTTTCTGACACACCCGTGAGGTGGTCATGTCCCTTGGTTTATGTTTTGGTCATTTATGCACCTTCATTTAGCTTCTGTTTTGAAGTTTATTATTTGTAATTCATGTAGGTTGATGGAGACCTGAACACTACCATCAAATTCATCGATTCTCTGAAAATCCCATATATCGCTCCATCCTTTGGTGGCTGTGAGAGTATTGTGGATCAGCCGGCTATAATGTCTTATTGGTACGTCACTTCATCATATTGTTGGGTTTTAATTTTCTGTGGTTTGCTTTGCCAAAAAACATTGAACTCTTTAAGTTATTCGAAGATGGTACACCTCTGATGTCACTTCTGGTGGTCTACTCGGTGAAGCATTATTTCTCAATTATTTTCTTTTTAAATTTAAAATTATCCCCTAATTCAGTTGTGATTTTCCGGGTGGACCATTATGTACAAACAAAGAGTGTCTTGTCTGGAAGTGTCAAAAAGTTAGATAATACTAAATAATCAATCTCATTTCTCTTTGCATTTGGAAAATAGGGATCTTAGCCAACCAGAGAGACTTAAGTACGGGATTGCGGATAACTTGGTTCGATTTAGCTTCGGCGTTGAAGACTTTGAAGATTTGAAGGCTGATGTTCTGCAGGCCCTGGATTCCATTTAAGGCGTGTCACCTTTTCCCTTCTTGTTTTTTTTTTCCCCCGCTAACTTAATTTGCTTTTGCTTTCTTGATGTCAATTGCTCTTTCCGAGCACCAAACTTCTTATTGTTTTGATTAGTAATCGTTTATCGGGATGTTCTGCTTTAAGTTATGAGATCAGTTATTGAAATGAAGTAATCTAGTATGATTCTTCTTGTGTTGAAATTTGTCATTCTTCTAATGTTTGGCTCGTCTTCAATAACGGTATTTTACTTCAATCGACCATAACTTTTCAATGTAAATATGTTGAAAATTTTGACATTTTCAAAGCGAATATCAGCTGTGGCACTATTAAGCAGTAGAAATTAGCACTAAAATTAAGTATTGTGACGTGGTTTTTTATGTCAAATAACCTAAACGTTACAAAAAGAAGATGCCAATTCCATCCAACCCCATCCAAACCCAAAGGACAAAATCACCCTGAAATTGAGGAAATTAAATTAGACCTCATAGGTCTAAAATATACACATGATCTCCCATGTTTTTTATTTTTTGAAAGAAGGGTGTTCGGGTCACTTTGTATAACCTCGACTAGTCCTCTCCTTATAGGCCTTGTAGGTGATTACCATAGTATCTCACAACCATGCTCACTCGTTTAAATCTTGGGATTTAGAGGGATTTGAATATGAAAGTGTGTGTTTTAGCCGCACATTCTAATGTTCGTCCTATCACTTGAGTTTTGGTGATTCTCATATTGTTAATCATTGGAATAATCAAAATTATCACTTGAAGAGTTTCTAAAAAATTACAAATGATAAAGCCCGAAATTCCCTAATCCGTTCTATATTATTCACATATAAAAAAAAAAAAAAAACCATAAGCTTAAAAATTAAAAAATAAATCTCCAACAAGGAAGTAAGTATACAAGTTTTAAACTTATGGGGTCCACATGAAATTTTGAAAATAAAGGAAGCTATTAAAGATTTTCTTTTCTAGTTTTTGCCGTTTTGGGGAAAAGAAGAGCCTATCCAAATTTCAAAAATACCCCCCACCACCACCACTTGTAATAAAATATTCTTCAATATTCATGTTCCAACTTCCAATAAACTTCCAAAAGATTCCACATTCTCCATTATTGTTATTTTCCCTTTCCTTTCTCATCATCCCCTTATTCATTCTAATCATCTTCAACCCATCGTACGAATGAAATTTGGGAAGGAGTTCAGGACCCACTTGGAGGAGACTCTCCCGGAGTGGAGGGACAAGTTCCTTTGTTACAAGCCCCTCAAAAAACTTCTCAAAGACTTCCCTTCTTCTTCCGACTTTGCACAGGCACCACCACCGCCGGCCACCTCCACCACCACTTCAGTTGATCATCATCGTCATCATCATGATCATCACGATGATGTTCCTCCCTCCTTGCTTCATCTCCAACATGGGTTTGTTAGAATTCTCACTGAAGAGCTTGAAAAGTTCAATGATTTTTACGTTGATAAAGAGGAAGACTTCGTTATTCGCTTTCAGGTCCCTTTTCTTTCTTTGTTCATTCATATATGGTTTTTTGATTTCCTTTAGTAAAAAATGTCAACTTGGTAATTGTTCAATGAAATAGTGGTAGCAAATTATATTATAATCCGCCATTGTTTTGCTACAGTATTGTGCCCAGTATCATTAACGGGTCGATAATTTGTTACAAACAATACTTTTGGATTACTTTTATAATGTTTTAGTCACCATAAACAGTTTTGCCGCTAAAAATTCGCTATTCATAACAAAAGTTATTGACTTGATAATGTTACTGTACTGTTACCGTATTATGATTCAAATTTGTTAGGGTGTTGGGTTTGCTGTACTCCAAATATTGTGTTACTGATTACAAATAAAAAAAGTTGTGATATTTTTCAATTTTATGTTATTTGTTGTTAAAATGATGTTGTATAGGTACAAATTTATTGCTTTTTTGATGGTAGAGTTATTGAATCTGGTTGATCCGATAACATTTGGCACCATGGCATTCACTTGGCTGTGGTAACTTGTTTTGTTATTGGAGAGATTCTAATGGTTTTATAGGATAAAGGACATACTTTTATCAGAATTGAGAAGTTTTTTAGTGGAATGATTGTATTGTATCATGCATGTATAGTTGTGATTTATGGATTCCATGTGGACCACGTGAAATGTTTTAATCAGAGAATAAGATGGTAGGAAAGGTGAAAAAGGTACTGGGGTCTCGGTCCTTTGCTTTCTTTTAATTGAAATGTGGATGTTGTAAAGAGAATCTATCTCTTGATCAGGTTAACTAAATAGCGGATTCATGTTACATGTGACACTTTCTCATTTGTTCTATGAATAAAGATAAGAGATAAAATTCAAACCCAACAGAAAACAAGTGGGAATGTTGACGATTAGGAGATGAAAAGTGACTTGTTTTGTCTTCTTTTTGTTACTAAATTGGTTTGACATGGTAATGCAGTGGGATGCATGAACTCGAGAGTCAAAATTAAGCTGTTGGTTGTTGTTGAAAGCCTATGCAAACTTATAAGATTATTACAACTAAAGCGAGATTTTTTAAACAATGATATTTGGATTAATCAGTGAATCAGAAACAATGTAAAATGCGTGTGGCTGTAGTGACATTTTGAGGAATACATGGCAATGGGAGAAAATCTGGTTTTAGATATGAATGCGTCTAGACAAATCTGGAGTGGTTGTTATTTAAGTTGGATGTGCTACAATGGCAATTGAATGGTCTGTAAGTAATGACTGCAGTTGGCTATAGAGATAACTGTTCATGCAGGGTTTACTTTTGTTAAATTAGAACTTCTTAAACAGGATTTTAATGTTTATGATCAGGTTGCAAAAGCATCATGGCGTTCTTGTTCTTCTCGTCAATAGGATATTATCGAATCACCTCCATTGTGGGTTTTCTTGTTTCTTAGTTATCCTCGGATCAAGTCATCCTTATCTTGGTTTAATATCTGTTGGTCTGAGGTGAATCTATAGGTCTCAAAACCTGGTAGCTGTATTGCTATTTATTGTCTGCCAGGTCTCTTCCTACCTTGATAACAGTTGGCAGATTGAATGTTTTGAATAAATTGAGCAAGGATTCCCATTTTGGGAACTATCTTCTTGGCTGTATCCGCCTTAGTAAATACCTCAAGTGGGATTGAACATTTTATCTTGTTTTGTATGCTAATATAGATTGATCTCTTGAATCTGAATTGTCAAGCTAGGTTCCATAGATATTCTCGACTTCTCCAACATTTCTTTCATTCTTTTTTTTTGTCAATGAAGAGTCCTATGGATTTTGCATCTTCATTTTCTGAATGGCCAGACTCCACATACTTATGCTACCGTTGCTGCTTTATCATTTATTTCTTTGGTTAACAACAGGAGCTGAAGGAGAGAATTGAGCGAGTTAAGGAGAAAAGCAGTGGAGTTTTTTCTTCAGAAAGTGAATTTAGTGAAGAGATCATGGACATTCGCAAGGAGTTTGTCACTATTCATGGGGAGATGGTGCTCCTAAAAAATTATAGCTCCCTAAATTTTGCCGGTACATCGCTACCTCATTTATAATTTTATATATGCCTTGAGTTGTTACAAGATTTATTGATTTTCTGATTACGATGAGAAAAACTTTAAGTTTTTAAGTTTTGTAGAGTTATTCAATCAGTGGGTTTCTTCCCCTGCGTTTAACATAAATTGGCAAAGTGCTGACGGTTGCCGGTTTTCTGAAACTATTTTATATCAGTAATATTACATTTATAAACCCTTCTCACTAAGTTTCTCTCACAAACGCGACGTCTCAGTCCACAATTGGTCAGCTTGCAATGGATCCCGCCGACCAAATGCGAACTGGTCAATTGTGAGTTGTCACGTCAGCGTTTATGAGAGAAAGTTGTGAGAAGTGTTTGTCAACCTATTTTTATTCATTTTATATTATCTGGTTTAACAGGGCTAGTCAAAATTTTGAAGAAGTATGATAAAAGAACTGGGGGATTGTTACGTCTACCTTTTACACAACTCGCACTTCATCAGCCTTTCTTTACTACAGAATCTCTCACAAGGCTAGTCCACGAGTGTGAGGAGAATCTTGAGCTACTATTCCCATTGGAAGAGGAAGTCATCGAATCTACCCCCACTGCACCAGATGGATCCAAACCGCCACTGAATAACAGCGCAAATGTCTCAGCTGACACTTCAACTCTTGGGGACGAAACCTTGGATGTATATAGAAGTACTCTTGCTGCAATGAAAGCCATACGAGGCCTCCAAAAAGCCAGCTCGACCTCTAATCCATTGTCTTTCTCATCTCTGTTTAGGAGCCAAGAAGATGAAAATGGCGGTGCTGTAACAGCTGAAAATTCTGCTTCAAACTCTCCTACCATGAAAGATGGGGAGGATGATCAAGACGATGATACCCACTCTACGTGACAGAATTGCTCGGTTTGTTGTGCATCTTCACTTTTTTTTTTTTTTTTTTTAATATCTTGTAACAGGTTGAAACTGAATAATTATAGGCACTCAATTGTACTTAAGCTTGAAGTCAAACAAACGATGTTTAACTCATTTAGCGATTAATTTCGAAGTTTCTAGTTGGCAGATTAACTTATTGCCTTTGGATGATTTGCAGACTACAAATCATTTTGGATGAAGAAAAATTTTCATTCTTTTGTTAATGAAAAACTGTTACTGTATACATTAATTTTGAAGTCTGTTACCTTGGGTGATTCACTGAGTTCTTGCAAACTGGAAACTTCTCTTCTTTTTCCCAAAACCAATAAACTATAGATCATTCATTGCTAGGTCATTTTGCGGAGATAAAAAAGACTTAATTGTTTAAGTGGGGATGTTCATGATGATTTGGGTTGGGTCCATATATTTTCTGATTTCATTTTCCATTATAGCTCTTTCAAGTCCTTTCATTGGGTAATATGACGCTGCCAAACCATTTTCACTAACTTTCTCTTACAAACGCAACGTGATAGTTTACAATTGGTCAGCTCGCAATAAGTCTCGTCTGCCCAACAATGGGTCTTTCCTAACCAATTGCGAGCTATCACGTCGCATTTGTGAGAGAATGTTAGTGAGAAGGGTTTATCAGCCAATCTTTATTGGTTTTCATTTTCTTTCAACAAATGTATCTTGATGAGTGGAAGAAGCCATTGATGAGAATCTAGTCACACATCACTCTTCCACATTCTAATCATAGAGTCACCCAATGCACTTTCTGCCTAGAACTTCAACCTCTAAAATTATTCAAAGTAACAATTATTGACAGTAATATCATTGTTTGATTTTTGAAACTTGTTTTAAAGCATTTGCATCATGAGAATAGAGATTGAGGTTCCAATAAAAACTCCTTTCATTTGCTTTGTTGCAAGTCTATACAAGTAAGTCAATTCTCACTGACTTAAAAAGAATAAAATATAAAAGAATTCCACATATGTGCAGTTTAGTTTTTGCTTGATCTTCATCTCTCTTCTGAATCATGCCTGTTTCGTAGTTCATAGATCCTTGTCTTCATCCTCATAGTTAAAAGGCAAAGGTACTGACTTGAACGCACGATACTTCCCCACATTGTTTAAGTGCTCATTCTCCAACCTGATCAATCAAAAATCATTTCTTCATGAGAATTCAGTAGGCATTTACAATTGCAGGATCCTAAGTTTTTATAACAAATTCAAAAATGATCGGATGCTAAAATGATGTATAGGATATACCTGAAGAAGTTCCACATGCCACGCCGGAAAATCTCCAGGACTGCAACTATGGCAGTCAAGGCTTTTCTATGTATGTATGGAGCATCTGTAAACCCAAACACTGACTGCACCCAAGCAAGTCTCAGTATAACGTTCACTACCTGCAATTCACCCAAACAGAATGTCAAATTTCAAGGTAAAGATATTAAAACAGTTCATCTCTATTTTGAAAATGCAGACCTCGTCAGATAATGCCAATAAATGGTTTTATTAATGTAATTGATAGAAGGATGTTGCTCATTTTGTTACCATGGCTATGAAGTAAACACTTTTGTTAGGTACAAGAAGCTTATCTCTCAACCAAGGGTTTTTCGAATCTCTTCGCAGAAGACCCCAATCCTTAACAAGATCCCAGTACGTCGAAAGACATGTAGCAAAAACTGAAGTGACTGCCGCTGCAATCATCATATTCCCAGTCTTTATCTGAGCAAAAGTTGTTCTTGTAGCAACCGCAACGATAGTTGAGAAGTATTTTAGTCCATTTACTGCATGATCTGAATCTTTCTCTTCAATCAAACGTCTAGCACACTAAAACATCAAAAACTGTTGTAAGAATCAAGGTCTTGTGTTGCAAGTTACAAAGTCAGAATTTTGATGAACCATCAAATACCTGAAGAAAACGAATCCAATATGGAATGGTCGCAACGATTAAGTAAAATGTTCTGTAAATCTCATTTCCTTTGCAGGAATTTGATCTCCTTTTGTAGTCCCCCCATCCATAGTAACATATATAGAATTGCAGACTTCTAATAGCTTGCACCTGAAATGAGTTATAACAGTACCAATTAATTACCAAACCAAACTAAGTTTAATCAAATTGATTTGGTAGTTGAACTTTATGTCTAACCTGGCTAGTGAACTGATCTGCAAGGAAGAAATCTGGGAGGGTAACCTTGTAAAGGGGTGCACAAATACAGTGAAATATACATCGAATAAGGAAGAATCGGCTTGAACGGTATATGATATTGAAAGGGCAGAATGTAATAAATCCCACAACCTGCAATGAACATCAGCAAAATAGTGGTAAAGCATTATTGGACAAATTAAGTAAAGAAACAGATGTTTTAAAGAGATTATTGATAGAACTTACGAGAAGTAGGCCTAAGGGGACTAGTTCAGTAATAGCTCTGAAGCTTCTTGTTCTCGGATCCATCTCCATATCCAAATTTGATACAACCCCGGCAAATGTAATTACAGCAAGACCAGAACTAAGGAGGAGGACTTCCCTGAAACCCAGTTCTGTTCCTTGCTTGAAGCCAAATATGAATGCATAGTTAACGCGATAACGATTCCAATAGTATATGTCTACAGCATACATGAACAAATGCAAGAAGATATATCCAAAGAAGCTGCGAAAAAAGTTTAAGAAAAGTTATGTGATTGAAGCTGAAGTGCTGAAGCTATCCTAAAAAAATAAATATATGCTCACCTGTAAAGTGGAAATATGTTTTCCATGTATTGATGGCGGCCCGGACTATTGACAACATTTCTGGCGTGGATAGACACAATAATGCCAACTGAAAGTGCAAGGGAGAAGCCAAAGAACACACCTGCAGACTTACAGATGCTATTAGAATTCATTTGGATTCAAAAAGCAACCAAAGTGGCATCAAGTTTTTATCAGGACAAGTTTTACCTAAGAAAAATGTGATGGTATGCCTTTCCCTCTTAAATTTTGGTCTTAAAATGTCCATTCCTTTTCTGTGATTTCCATTTGCAAAGTGCTTAACAAAAGTAGCTTCTACTCTTTCCATGAGCTTAGAAACCTGCAGAGCACAGGATGTCACGGAGCAGAGCATTAGCGGCGAAAGGGAAATGACAATCCAGAGTCTGTGTTGGCTAAAACTAACCTCATCAGAGCTGCCAAGGTACGAATTATCGATCATCTCTAAGTAAGTCTTTGATGCATTTCTTGCTGCAATCTGCAGTAGTATAAATCAGTCAAACTCAACCAAAGAAAGCAAAAATGGCAAGCCTAAATTGTTAATGTGGAAACAAAGAGATGAACCTTGTCATACTTCTTCAAGATCTTGGAGAATGCCAATTGATTCAAAAAGCTGATACATACATATCAAACAAGGAAAAGGTCAGTTATATCAGAAACAAAAACTGAAAAATTCACGCTGTCATGAATCCTACAAAACAATACCTGAAGCTTTTCATAAGTCTAAGCTTGTTGTAGAACTCAATAAAAGCCTGTGTCATTAGGGTTTCTGCTTTCTTTAGCTCACGTTTACTGAATCTCTTGTCATTTGTAGTCTTTAGGACACCTTTTAGCGTCGAAACTGGAGATTCAGGCTCAACATTGATCCTTACATGATCCAACACTCTTAATGAAGGTGGTCTAAACCCCTCCATATCAGCCTTTGCTTGCTGGTGTCTTCCACTTTCACCTTCGGCCGGTTGTTCTTCACTGCTCATCTCAACTTCTTGTATAGTCTCCATACGGTTGAACTTTTCACCTAGCAAACAGGAGTTCAAATTTTCAGGTAATGCACAATGTAGACACCCTTTCAAAAGATAATTAATTCCCAAATTCAATAGAATTGTGAATCATATACCAATTCATACAATAGAATTAATCAATCTAGGAATTTTTTCTCACCTTGTTTTGTAGCATCAACTGGATGAATTGAAGAGAGATTAGCCCCTCCTAAAACTGGATTCTCAACCCTAATCCTCAAAGCAATGAATGCATTCATTTGTTTGCTCAACTCATCCGCCTCAACCATCACTTCATTCACTTTCTTCTTGTAGAAGTTAACTACTTTATTGAACTCATCATCAAGCTTCCTGAAGAACACAAGCTCATACTCTCCTCCTTCATCAGATGGCATGAGAAACATAGTCTGATACTTCCCATCTTCTGATCCCTCGTCGTCCACTGAACTCACTAGTATCACTTCATCATCGACATGGCCACCACCGCCGTCGCCCTTCCTTGGCGAACCAAGCCTGCACTTGCTTGTTAGCCCGCTAAACGCACGATACAATGACACCCTTCTCCTAAATGACCCTCTTGCTGAAGTCAATGGATGGTGTATTTCTTGTTGTCGATCCTTGAGATGAAGTACTTGTTTCAAGACTTGTTTCAGACCATTGTAATCCATATATGCATCCTGCCATTCCTGCACCAATTGGATAGAAAATTCTTTTCCAAACTTCATCTTTTCTCAAACCAAAAACAAATCGTTTTCACCTTAACATTTACACAATATTTGATCAAGCTTCTTACAGATTTTATGAATTTTTTCCCACTTTTCTTCAATGAAATTTTTTTTCTTAAGATCTTCCTGGTTTTCAGGACTTGCAACAAAAAAAAAAAAAAAAAAAAAAAAGAAGGGAAAAGAAAAGACCCTTCTGAAAACGCAAATTCTTAAAGGTGTTAATCTGTGTTATGTGGTGGAATATTGATGATTTTAAAAGCCAAGAAGAAGTCTCAACAGACCAAATATTTAGGAGACAAAATCTTCTTTCTTAATCAGGATGACCATTTCTATTTTTTTTATGAATTAAAGTGACTAAAAATGTGGTTATCTATTTGTGTATGGCCTTCAATCACGGCTGCCAACAAAGATCAAGTGAAACTAAAGGTACTTTCTGTCTCATGACAAAGATTTCTTACTTCAAACTCTATAACGCATTTTCGTTTTTCTTGTTACAGAGAAATTGACTCTGTAATAACATTTCTTAACATGGTTTCACAGCTTTTCATGACATATGCATACATGTTTAATCAAACAACCACAGATCTAAAGGGGAGTAATATTTAGATAAAATGACTCATTTGACATATTATATAAGCTATATATTTCTACTTTCAACATTCTGCTTCATATATAACACCCATTTACTTTCTATTTTAGGCGGTTGAATCATTGAATCCGAGGCTATCATTTCAGAGTTTGTAGGTGATATTTGACTAGAGTAACCATTTTGGCCAAAACCAAGTTTTGCTTTATAATTTACAATGACAAGGTTGATGTTTAAGCAAACAGATTATAAGTTTATGGTAGCTATTACAAATCCGTCGTTGTAGTTATAAGTTTATTATCAAAAGTTACAAAACGCGTATTCCTTTTTTTTTATGATCAAGGATATTCAGACTAGCTTATACGCACTTCAACTAATTTCCTGAAACCCTAGAACTATCGACTAGATACGAGCTCCAGTGACCGCTCCTATTAGCAATCATGGGGACTTAAACGCATATTCATTAGTCCATCATTCCTAGTGTCATGGGCTGGGAGTTTCACACCCAAAAGGCTAATCTATTAGGTGGAGGGACTCCCCCCCCATTTATAAGCCTAAGACCTCCCCAATACGCTTCCAATGTAGAATTTGTTACATTCTTCCCCACCCAATCCTGTGATGCCCTCGTCACAGGTGAGGCCTCCTGTCTACCTGTCCATCTCACTCTCATGTGGATTCACAATCACACATGGACGCCCTTGCGTGGGTGATTGGTGGGACATTGAAAGACGGATCAAGTCTACTCTGATACCACTTGTCACGGGCTCAGAGTTTTACACCCAAAAGGCTAACCTATTAGGTGGAGGGACTCCCTGCATTTATAAGCCCAAGACCTCCCAATACGCTTCCGATGTGAGATTTGTTACACTAGTCACAATTTACAAGTCCAAATATTTTTTTTTTTGCTTTTAAATTACAAGTTTATCATTGATTGTTAAAAATTCTTTATTGTTTTTATAATCTTAGGGCTTGTAACATAAAAAGGATGAACTTTTTATATAACAATGTTAATGTCATAATTATAATGACATCAACGTAATATTTATTATTAAATGTTTTAAGATTATAATTTCCCAAAGATATCAGCTGCTTTAGACTTTGAACCCTCACAATTTTATTTTGAAAAGGTACTTCTAAGTGGGGAGGGTGTCATTGTACCATATAAGCGACAAAACTCCCCTCTCCTCAGACTTTGGGAAGTAGATAGACTTATAACAATGAATAATATTGTTCTTCAAATACAGAAAAACATGACATTTTTTGGGGAGATGGTAGCCAAAGGCCTCTATTCTAATCCTATACTATACCTTATACTAAAATCGGGCCGGACTTTAACATTTTAAAACAGATTCAAATCGGGACCATTTACATCAGCCCGGCCCATTATTCACCACTACATTTTCAGACAACATTAAACAATGCAAAAACCAGAGACACAGATCTCCACTTCCACAGTCCAGTTGAAACAATTTCAAAAGTTCTAAACTTTTAAACATCTCCGAGTTGTTTGTTCCAAAAAAAAAAAAAAAAAAAAAAAAAACGCAACACCACTTCGCAAATCAACAATTTTATCCAAAAGCACAAAATGTATGTATCCAATTTTTTCATAAAAGTAATTTTTTGTATTGGGATGTTGTCAAGATTTGGAGAATCCATGAGGTTTGATCTGAATTCTGGACAAACAAAGTGCATTTCAGAGGATATAAAGAGCAATGCAATGACTGTGGGAAAATACAGCGTTGTGAATCCTAATGAAGGCTACCCTGTGCCTGATACTCATAAGCTCACTGTTAAGGTGTGTAAATTTTGTTCTTTTGTGGTGTAAAATGCATGCGTGGATGGTTAAAGCTCCAATTTTTATGCTTATTTGTTTTTTTGATCCTTTGATATGTTCAAAGTTGTGTTTTTGTTTCTTTTTCTGGGGTTTGGAATTTGTTTTGGATATTATTGTGAAAAAAGATTTGAATTTTGCTGTTTTTGATGCCTAGTTATGTGGAAAGTTGTGTTTTTGCTTTGTTGGTGGTAGAATTTGTCTTGGAGATTAATGTGCCAAAAGATTTTATGTTTGAAATGGAGCCCAAGTTTGAAGCTGAAATGAGTGTGGAAAATTTGAATCTTGAAACTCTTTTGTGTTTTTGTGAATTTATCTATTTTGGTTTCTTGATCTTTGGGTAATTGGGCTTGGTTTGGTGTATTTACTTTTAGGTAAATTTTGCTATCTCCTTTGAGGCTTGGTTTGATTACAGTAGAGCTCATGGTTTGGAAAATATGAACTTTAGATAAGGTATTTGATAAATGTTAGAGGAGGTTTATTACAATTTTCAAAACTGCAGAAAGGTATTTGAGTTTGTTCTTTCCAAACCAGGGATTTTACTAGTAATTAGCCAGGAGAGGTAGGTGCAATTTCCTTTGTATCTTTGTAGTAGCAAGTTTAATCTATGAAACAGCAAATATTTGGTGATAAATTGTAGGAGAAAAATGGAGGTTAAAGTCATAATGTGCGTGTGAAAATGTCTCTGAAACCCCCCCCTTTTTTTTTTTTTTTTTGTCTTTTCTGGTTGCTAATTTTTTGATCATGTATGAAAATTTTGGTTTAGATTGATTTAGTTGATGAATATGGGAATTGATATTGATATAGGTTACTTCCCCTTACGGGAACTTTTATCACCATACGGATCATGCGGAATCAGGTAATTATGCGTTTACTGCAGCTGAAGCTGGTGACTATAATGCTTGCTTTTGGGTACCTATCCACAACCCTCCAGTCAATGTGACTGTTGAATTTGATTGGAAAACTGGTTTTGCTGCTAAGGATTGGTCTAAGGTTGCTAAGAAAGGCCAGGTCGAAGTAAGTTGATTTTATTAGCATTTTACTTGTTTCTTGTATTTATATTCTTTGTCTTTGTTTCTTTGGTTTCTTTAAAAAATGATGTTGTATGCTAAAATTTTAATCAATGGATAATCGTTGTTTGGCAAGGTCAAAGCCATATTAACAAAACAAATTCATTTTGTACTGAGCCTGTACAACATTATCATTGCTGACGTGCGGATCAGCGGAGATTGTTTATATGTGCATATAAGGCTGGGATTTATAGCCAACTTTTCTACTTCTCTCCATCTTGTACATTTGTTTTCTTCTTGTAACTATTATTTTCATCATCTCATAGTTCAACTCTTATCATAGTGGAATTCAGCTTAAAGGAAGAGAAACCTCTTGTAACATAATATTCAATCGTGTTATTTAGTTGGGGTGGGTGAAGGAATTTAACTGTGATATTGTCGACTGCTGTTTATTATGGGCATTTTAGTTTTTATGTTTTGAATGCTATGTTTTTTCTTTCATAGTAGTTAACGGAAGTAGTACTGATATAACTCTATGGTGACTTCTAGTAAGTCTGTGCTTTATTTTATTGCTACCTATACTTTGATTTGGTAATTGTTGCTGCCGTGTCGAAGATCTAATCTAATTTTTAGAGAAAAGAGATTACATCATACGGGAACCATCACAAGGAAACCGGACTATATCGTCTTTACTGATATACATTTTCAACTGTTGTGCTAGATGATGGAACTGGAGTTAAAGAAGTTGGCTGATGCTGTGTCTTCCATTCACGATGAGATGTTTTATCTTCGTGAGAGGTATAACTTCATTATGTAAGAAATTTTAATGATCTTCAGATGTTTATTATAGTCCAAATTAATATTCGAATATCTCATGTGAAGCTAAAAGTGATTTTTTTTTTGGGAATTTTTTGACATAAACATATATCTTCTAAACAGAAAACTGCTTTTGGACAATCTTTTTGGCTTTTGTCATTCTGCTTTAACACTTTTAACGCTTTTATGGACTGGACTTCAGAACCATATTTGTGTCTTTCAGTGTAACTACAAATGGCTTCATAATCTTAAAAATGAAAACCGTTGTTACCTCCCGAGTCAGTGATGTTAGGTACTCCAGTGATGATGTCTGTTATCAATCTATATAACCCCGTATTTTTCTGAATTCAAATTTGTTAGCTTGTTTGTTCTTAATTTTAAAACAGATGGATCTAGCATCTCTTCTTCTCTGCTTTTGTTTTATTTTTTCTTTACTTAGTTGCACTCTATTCAAGGTCATCACTGGGGCCATTTGTTTCTTTCTTTAGTCTTCTGCTAGAACCAAATTTGGACTCTAATTAATCACCCCTTAATACTTTTGTTTTTCCAAAGGAATGATGAATTATCATTGTGTTAAATCTTCTGTAGTTTTGTTCTGGATTATATTAACCATCATTTCTTTATTGTATTTCATATTTTTTTTCTTTTTTTATCATGGTGTTTAGGGAAGATGAAATGCAAAAGCTCAATATAGAAACAAATTCCAGAATGGCCAGTCTTGGTGTCCTTTCACTCGTAGTTTGCCTATCGGTTGCTGCATTGCAGTTATGGCATCTGAAGACATTCTTTGAAAGGAAGAAGCTCCTCTAGATTTTCCATGGAAGTTTCTTGCCACGTTATTGTTTTTCTTCTTTGTTTTTGAGCAGCTTTAGTAATATTCATTCCATTTTTCTCTTTATGTTACAAACCAGTTTATCAATTGGGCTTTAATTTATAGTGCCTAGAAGTTGATGACAGAAAATTGCTCTACTTACTGCATATTCAATTGATTCCTTGCACTTGTGCCGATTGTTCCTGAAAAATTTGTTCACAAGTTGAGTGGACAATACGCATTATTTGATTCTATTACTGACAGATTTTAGGAACCGTAGGAATTTCCAGACCTGCCCAAAGTTGTGTGCGTTTACTTGATATTACTATCGATAAATGTATCGACTCTGTCGTGTGTATGGGCAACTTATTGTTTCTGAGTCTTGGGAATTGGTTCCCCGTTGGGATGTCTTCAGATTGTAATTTTTGTTTTCTTGGTGATTAGAGTGTTCGGATTAATTTATATACACTATAATTAATCTTCGAGATTCATTTAATACTCTCCAAACTTAATGAACCAAATAAATCATAAATGTAACAAATGATCAGACTCGAATACAAAATCTTTGAATAATCTAAGTTCTTGTTATCTATTCACAATTCACAAACCAAGTGGTTAATTCAGATTGTAATTCAGATAGATGAGTAAATGACATTAATCTCCTAAAATCTTATTAAATAACAAATTTTAATTAGTAAATATTGATCAACTCTATTATAAGTTTTAAAGGCCTCACTAACAGTATAAATTGGAAAAAAAATTATCACTTTTCAATGAGAGAATGCTATGTTCATTGTTACAAAATCCCAAAACCCCACTCATCTCAGGCTCACAGCTGTTTGTCTTCAAAATTGGCATCTACCCAGAAAAGACCAATATAATATATTTGGAATCCTGCAGATTTGACAGTAGGGCCACGATCCATATCTTCTGAATAGATAACATTCAAATTTCCAGACAAAAAACGTCTTAAGTCTAAAAACAGAGCATATAAAGACAGCAACACAAAAGTTTGAGATTTTATTAAGCTTCACAAACACTATCTTCTGAATAGAAAACATTCAAATTTCCAGACAAAAAACGTCTTAAGTCTAAAAACAGAGCATATAAAGACACCAACACAAAAGTTTAAGATTTTATTAAGCATCACAAACACCGGCAGAGCACATGAGCACACACAAACACAAGCACATAGTTTATATGGAAATGCATCTGTAGGGTCTAGAAGAACCACACGAGGAAGACATGCCTCGACCCTTTATTTAGTAGCAAACTATGGCATGAATCCCATTCACAACACAACTAGCATTTTTATCATTCATCGTCATGGTGCCTGTGGTGGTGGTGCTTGAAGCGATGCTTCTTCTTCTCGTCATCATCATCGTCACTGTCATCAGCCTACAAATTTCAGAGTGTTCAGAATTCAGGAATAAAATTCCATCTTCAACCAATGCAACATGGATACCAAAAATTTCCTATTCTTCTTCCAATTTTCAGAATGCATAACACTATAACTACATTTGCACACACAACCGTGTTTATGAGCCATTCAGTCACCTAATTCTAAGTGGAGTAGCATAATCCGGATACTATGCAAATAAACCAGCCCCTTGTGATACACACAAGACACGAAATCAACTCAAGTCTTTCTGTATCAAAGTTACGAGACCTTCAAGTAGCTGAACATTTCATCACCGAAAGAAAGTGTTTGTACTGCAATTCTAATACTTAACTCACTTATTTAATTCATCACAAATGTAACATCCATCACTTGAATACTTACTTGATTCCTCAAAGCACTTCTAAATTAAAAAACCGATTCCCAATATAGCAGTGAGATACATACAACAGGAGGAATTGTTTCCACTATGCAAAAGGCCACCCATTTCACTTCATTCCAATCTAATTCTAACATCAACAACTGCTATTATCTCCATCAACATATAACACAAATTCCTCTCAGCATCATAAATTAATTAACTTGCATTAACCTAGTATGTGTTCATTAGCATAATGTGAACTTCAAAAAAAAATTGAATAAAAATACACCCATAATAAAGAATCAAGGGCTTACTTTCATCTTGCGGAAGCCACCACCATGCTCATCATCATCATCATCCTTACGACGCCCCTCGTAGCCATAACTGGGCTTCCTGTACCCTTCATCTTCCTCTGATCTCTCATAACTCGGCTTCCTCTCATATCCGGGATCAAAAGTTGACTGTCCACCATATGCGGACTCACTCTTTGCGCCATTACCGGACCCGTATTCTTGTTTTCTCTCATACCCAGATTCATACTCCGATTGCCCACCATACCCGGACTCGAATTCAGGTTTCCGGCCATACCCAGATTCAAATTCAGGTTTCCGGCCATACCCAGATTCGAACTCGGGTTTACGGCCATACTCAGGCTCGAATTCCGGTTTCCGGCCATACTCAGGCTCGAATTCCGGTTTCCCGCCGTATCCAGATTCGTACTCCGGCTTCCTTCCGTACTCTGACTCATACTCGGGTTTCCGACCATACCCAGATTCGTATTCCGGTTTCCGACCGTACTCTGATGACTCGTACTCGGGTTTACGGCCATATCCAGATTCATATTCTGGTTTCCGGCCGTATCCATATTCAGACTCGGGCCTTCCTCCATATCCGGATTCATGCTGTACACGGCCAGGCCCAGATCCATATTGAGTTTCAGGTGGTGGATACTGAGTTTCAGGTGGTGGATATTGAATTTCAGGTGGTGGATAATCAGTCTTGCCATACCCAGATCCATACTCGGATGCGGGCTTCTCAAATTCCGGTCTCTGGCCATACCCAGATCCAACTTCGGGTCTCGGTGGCTGAGGTCTTCCTCCATACCCTTCCTCACCTCCAAAAGCGGATCCGGGTCGAGGCTTGGCACTGCCATAGGAGCTGTACTCAGTGGCCAGAGCCTCGTCAGCGTAGGCTGAAGGCTCGGCGTGAGAAGAGAACTGGGGACGAGCGTAGTCGAAGTTCCCATCGGACTCCGACGATGATGGGTGGCAAGTCTCATCGGACGGCGGCAATGGTCGCCCGTACGTCACCTGCATGTCATAACCTCCACCATAAGGGGTGGGATCGTACTCGTCGAAGTCGTGGACATCGTCTTCATCGCGATAGTAAGGCATCGTTTCAGATTCCTTTCGGTAAAGTTCACTGGTTATAATCTAGATGACGATGGAGGTGGGTTTTATACTGAGACATCTGGGCTCGAAACGACGACGTTTCGATTAACATAATTGTTTGTTGGGAGATTTTTAATGGTGGGCCTAATATTTGGTTCTACATCAACCGTCAGATTGGATTGATTTAATATTTAAATGGGTCGATGAGCTACACGTGTTGCCGACATTTCATTGATATTTGATAGTGAAATAGTATGGCCGCTGATCTAAATTATTGGATCTTTCCATGGTCAAAAAAGGGTTTAAGTACTTCAACCATTCCTCACTTGATACCTCATACCTCTACTCTCTAGTCCAAGTTTCATGATCTCTTATCCCTTTGAATCCAATAAGATGATCTTATGATATTCAAACCCAATTCCCCTATCTTAATTTTAAGTTCTTACTTAAAGATAATCGATATGCATAAAGATACTAATAATATCAGCAATTTATTAAAGGTATTAAAAAAGTTAAAGGATAATGTTATTGTCGACATACAAATACAACTACCAACATACAAATAGACAAAAATTTTACAAAATAATTTTAAGTTTTTACTTAAATATAATCGACATGCATAAAGATACTATTATAAGCAATTTATTAAAGATATTAAAAAAGTTAAAAGGATAATGTTGCAGTTACAACTGCCGACATACAAATGGACAAAATTTTTAGAAAATTCATATAAAATAACTAATGTGTTTTATGTTTTTTACCTGGTTGTGTGATTCAGTTGTAAATATAGCATTATTTAAAGTTAAAAGACGATAATGGATGGATGAAATTAGATTTTCTAATAAACCACCATTGGATGGCATGATGGTAAAAGAATAAAGGAGAATCTAATATGGTCTCTCAAGTTCGAGTCTCCTTGATGATAAAAGAGTAATAAAAAGAAGTCCTAAGTTCGAGGGTAAAAGAGCAAGAAGATGATCTAATATAGTCTATTGAGTTCGAGTCTCCACAGTTGTTAATAAGGGTGGTCATTGGAGCTCATACCCAATCGGTTGTTCCAGTGTCTCCAAGGATTAGTTAAAGTGCACGTAAGCTGGCCTAGACACTTTCAGTAAAAAAAAAAAAAATTGTGAAGGGCCCCAAAAATTAGTTAAAGTGTGTACAAGCTAATCCAAACACAGAAAAAAAAAAAAAAAAATTGTGAGCATCAACTAATAAAGTTTCTCAAGTAGTAGGATTTCATAGACTCGAATAGTCTCTCAAATTTGAGTCCTCTTAATGGTGAAAAAAGCAAAAGTGTATGTAAACTAGCCTGAACACACACACACGCGCACACACACATTATAACATGAGTAACATAATCAAAGGAAAAATTTGTCTTAATAAGCCATTGAATTGCTTAGATTTTACCCACAAGATGTTTTTGCTAGCAATAAATCCTTCGCAAACGATCCATAAGAGCAAAAACATAAACCATTTCTCCTCGGATCCCTTGTCTTCCCTCCATTTCCCTGATTGATTGAGTTTGAGCCACATGGAAACCAAAAGAGAGGACACCACTACAATAACCTCTTCTCCATCCTCTTAAAACAATACAGGCAAGCATCATAACAAACAACAAAAACCCACTTCAAGATTCTCCCTTTGGACAACTCAAACTACTTTAACAACGCCAGCAATAATCTTACATTACATCAGTTGACATAAACTCACGAAAAAACAAAACCTTTTTATCTTGATCTGCGTTTCTTCTCCGCAATCAATAATGGCGTCTTGTGTGGTGACGGTGGCGCAAGACGGCTCCGGGGACTACAAGACGGTGCAGGAGGCTATTGATATGGTGCCACTCGGCAACAATTGTCGCACCATCATTCGTGTATCACCGGGAATTTATAATCAACCTGTCTACGTCCCCAAAACCAAGAACTTCATTACACTCGCGGCTCTTTCCCCAGAATCTACGATCCTCACTTGGAACAACACTGCCACCAAGATAGAACACCACCAGGTTTAATGGGTGCACGGATTTTTGGTGCCACGCTTATCTGGGTTTCTGATACGTTGACAAAAATTGGATTTTTTTGGGGTATAATGTATAATGTTTGTTTTGTTATGGTTTTGCAGGCTGCGAGGGTGATTGGTACTGGGACGTTTGGGTGTGGGAGTGTGATAGTTGAGGGAGAAGATTTTATTGCTGAGAATATCACTTTTGAGAACTCTTCACCTGAGGTAGTTTCTGTTCTTTTACCTGTTTGTTAATAGGCACTGTTCAATTGAATGCTTGTTCATTGATTTGTGGTGGAAATGGGACATTTTGGGACTTGATATGTTGCTCTTTTTTATGTTTAATGGGTATGGATGAAATGTGGGGACTTGTTGTTTGGAGTTTTAGATGTGTTCAAAATGTTGTGTAATTGTTTGTATTTATGTTTTGGTCTTGTTTATATGTGCATTTTGGGCACTTGAGATTGTGTCATGAAATTTTGGGGGCTGTTTCGGGTTTTATAGAGTTGATTAAAAATGCTTAGTAAATTTTTTTGTAAGTGCTTTGATGTTATTGTGATGATTCGAGTCTTGCTTTATCATTCTCTATCTTACATTTTATAGGGTTCTGGCCAAGCTGTGGCAATCAGAGTAACAGCAGATCGATGTGCTTTCTACAATTGCAGGTTTCTTGGGTGGCAGGTATGTTATAAACGTCGAGTTCATTTTGTCTAATTGATACGTAACAATGTTATTGATTCTTTGAACGTATCATCTAGATGATAGGATAACTTGAAATAATTAACTTGTTGGTGGATGATTTATATTGTGAGACCTTTGTACAAGGAAACAAATTTAACTTGTGTTTTCATTCATATTATTTGACAAACTTATCGTGTTTAATGTAAAAATTATTTGTTCCTTAAGCAAAACGGGTGGGGATTTTAGTTATTGATTGAATCAATGATGTCTTTGGGCATAAGATGACCTAGGAAATAATAATCTTTAGAAGATATTGTATTTTGATGAATAAAAGTTATTGGATGAGATAGTTGTAATTATAGGTGATTTCTTGCAGGTTCAGTCAAATTAATTTAGTATTTTGAACCAACAATAGACAGTGGTTGCCAGTAAGTCCGTTTCGTTTGTGGAATTATTCGGACGGATATTATGTTTTGTACTTCTAGCTAAAAGATAGCTGCTGCCGATTTTCATGCAGGATACTCTGTACTTACATTATGGAAAACAGTATCTGAAAGATTGCTATATTGAAGGAAGCGTGGATTTCATTTTTGGGAATAGTACTGCTCTCTTAGAGCATTGTCATATCCATTGCAAGTCAGCAGGTTTTATAACTGCACAAAGCAGAAAATCCTCTCAGGAGACAACTGGTTATGTGTTTTTGAGGTGTGTGGCCAACTCTTTTCTCTTTTCGTTTTTAAGAAAAAATCCCACCACGGGCTTTATACAGTCTAAAACTGTAAGTTATTTAGGGCCCTAAAAATGTTCTATCCTGACGGAATTCATCATCATTACTGATATTTAAATCAACCGATAAATTTTTTCTCATGCAACAGGATCATGCCTGACCAAGATGTCTTAAGTTATTTTGTACATGTGTACCATGGTTCCCTATTTCCTGCATGAACATTTATTGCATTAATGCAGATGTGTGATTACTGGCAATGGAGGTTCAGCGTATACATATCTTGGACGCCCATGGGGACCTTTTGGAAGGGTGGTCTTCGCACATACTTACATAGATGCATGTGTCAAACATGTAGGTTGGCATAACTGGGGCAAAGCTGAGAACGAGAGAAGTGCTTGCTTTTATGAGTACAGGTATTTCAAGTTTAAGAACAATCTTTCTTTCCATTTTCTCTCTAGATTTTGGGATTTTTTTCGCATATGAGCTACGAGTACTGGAGTATGCAATATATTTTACATGACATGGAGGTTTTGAGCATATGATCACTAGGATACTGTTAAACAATTTTCTTTCTTTTTTTCCTGGTAGTCATTGTTAATTGAGTTTTGACAGTTCAGTCGAAACTGCAGGTGTTTCGGGCCTGGTAGCTGCTCTGCAAATCGTGTGACATGGGCTAGAGAACTGATAGATGAAGAAGCAGATCAGTTTCTGATGCATAACTTCATCGATCCAAATCCGCAAAGGCCTTGGCTAGCCCAGAAAATGTGCCTGAGGGTACCATATTCTGCGTAGAGTTTATAATTGAACGCGGCAAGCAAAAGAAGATTCCCAGAAAAATAATCAGACAATTGATGTCAATGAAATCTTAATTGTGTGCAATGAACAAAGTCTCGGCCTGGCTATTTCAACTATTGTTTGTCAAATTTATGAGAGACTTTATGAGTGTTTGTTTATATTAGATATTTGTAAGTGATTGGCCATGCTTCTTGATGCCGGATGCTGCTTTATTTATTTATATATTTAAATTTCTCCTATAGAATTTAATTGGACTTCAATGTTATTCAATATATTATAGGTATATGAGTCCATGGTTTTAGCAAAGTATTTTTACTTGGTGTTGAGAATACATGAAATGTCCTTCATTTCATGACAATGAAAAAAACTATATATCAAATAATAAAACAAACTTAATACTGAAATGTGATGAACGTCTAATAAACTATAACCCTTTTAACAAACTATTATCAGCAATTTATTAAAGGTATTAAAAAAGTTAAAGGATAATGTTTGTCGACATACAAATACACTACCACATACAAAATAGACAAAAATTTAAAATAATTTTAAGTTTTTACTTAATTAACGACTCATAAAGATACTATTATAAGCAATTTATTAAAGATATTAAAAAGTTAAAAGGATAATGTTGCAGTTACAACTGCCGACATACAAATGACAAAATTTTTAAAAATTCATATAAAATAACTAATGTTTTTATGTTTTTTACCTGGTTGTGTGATTCGTTGTAATATCATCATTATTTAAGTTAAAAGACGATAATGGATGGATGAAATTAGATTTTCTAATAAACCACCATTGTGGCATGATGGTAAAAGAAAAAGGAGAATTAATATGTCTCTCAAGTTCGAGTCTCCTTGATGATAAAAGAGTATAAAAGAGTCCTAAGTTCGAGGGTAAGAGCAAGAAGATGATCTAATATAGTCTATTGAGTTCGAGTCTCCACAGTTGTTAATAAGGGTGGTCATTGGAGTCATACCCAATCGGATTGTTCCAGTGTCTCAAGGATTAGTTAAAGTGCACGTAAGCTGACCTAGACACTTTCACAAAAAAAAAAAAAATTGTGAAGGGCCCCAAATTAGTTAAGTGTGTACAGCTAACCAAACACAGAAAAAAAAAAAAAAAAATTGTGAGCATCAACTAATAAAGTTTCTCAAGTAGTGATTTCATAGACTCAATAGTCTCTCAAATTTGAGTCCTCTTAATGGTGAAAAAAGCAAAAGTGTATGTAAACTGAGCCTGAACACCACACACGCGCACACACATTATAACATGAGTAACATAATCAAAGGAAAAATTTTTCTTAATAAGCCATTGAATTGCTTAGATTTTACCCACAAGATGTTTTTGCTAGCAATAAATCCTTCCAAACGATCCATAAGAGCAAAAACATAAACCATTTCTCCTCATCCCTTGTCTTCCCCCATTTCCCTGATTGATTGAGTTTGAGCCACATGGAAACCAAAAGAGAGGACACCACTACAATAACCTCTTCTCCATCCTCTTAAAACAATACAGGCAAGCTCATAACAAACAACAAAAACCCACTTCAAGATTCTCCCTTTGGACAACTCAACTCTTTAACAACGCCAGCAATAATCTTACATTACATCAGTTGACATAAACTCACGAAAAAAAACCTTTTTATCTTTCTGCGTTTCTTCTCCGCAATCAATAATGGCGTCTTGTGTGGTGACGGTGGCGCAAGACGGCTCCGGGGACTACAAGACGGTGCAGGAGGCTATTGATATGGTGCCACTCGGCAACAATTGTCGCCATCATTCGTGTTCACCGGGATTTATAATCAACCTGTCTACGTCCCCAAAACCAAGAACTTCATTACACTCGCGGCTCTTTCCCGAATCTACATCCTCATTGGAACAACACGCCACCAAGATAGAACACCACCAGGTTTAATGGGTGCACGGATTTTGGTGCCACGTTTTGGGTTTCTGAACGTTGAACAAAATTGGATTTTTTTGGGTATAATGTATAATGTTTTGTTTGTTATGGTTTTGCAGGCTCGAGGGTGATTGGTACTGGGACGTTTGGGTGTGGGAGTATTTTATTAAGCATCACAAACACCGGCAGAGCACATGAGCACACACAAACACAAGCACATAGTTTATATGGAAATGCATCTGTAGGGTCTAGAAGAACCACACGAGGAAGACATGCCTCGACCCTTTATTTAGTAGCAAACTATGGCATGAATCCCATTCACAACACAACTAGCATTTTTATCATTCATCGTCATGGTGCCTGTGGTGGTGGTGCTTGAAGCGATGCTTCTTCTTCTCGTCATCATCATCGTCACTGTCATCAGCCTACAAATTTCAGAGTGTTCAGAATTCAGGAATAAAATTCCATCTTCAACCAATGCAACATGGATACCAAAAATTTCCTATTCTTCTTCCAATTTTCAGAATGCATAACACTATAACTACATTTGCACACACAACCGTGTTTATGAGCCATTCAGTCACCTAATTCTAAGTGGAGTAGCATAATCCGGATACTATGCAAATAAACCAGCCCCTTGTGATACACACAAGACACGAAATCAACTCAAGTCTTTCTGTATCAAAGTTACGAGACCTTCAAGTAGCTGAACATTTCATCACCGAAAGAAAGTGTTTGTACTGCAATTCTAATACTTAACTCACTTATTTAATTCATCACAAATGTAACATCCATCACTTGAATACTTACTTGATTCCTCAAAGCACTTCTAAATTAAAAAACCGATTCCCAATATAGCAGTGAGATACATACAACAGGAGGAATTGTTTCCACTATGCAAAAGGCCACCCATTTCACTTCATTCCAATCTAATTCTAACATCAACAACTGCTATTATCTCCATCAACATATAACACAAATTCCTCTCAGCATCATAAATTAATTAACTTGCATTAACCTAGTATGTGTTCATTAGCATAATGTGAACTTCAAAAAAAAATTGAATAAAAATACACCCATAATAAAGAATCAAGGGCTTACTTTCATCTTGCGGAAGCCACCACCATGCTCATCATCATCATCATCCTTACGACGCCCCTCGTAGCCATAACTGGGCTTCCTGTACCCTTCATCTTCCTCTGATCTCTCATAACTCGGCTTCCTCTCATATCCGGGATCAAAAGTTGACTGTCCACCATATGCGGACTCACTCTTTGCGCCATTACCGGACCCGTATTCTTGTTTTCTCTCATACCCAGATTCATACTCCGATTGCCCACCATACCCGGACTCGAATTCAGGTTTCCGGCCATACCCAGATTCAAATTCAGGTTTCCGGCCATACCCAGATTCGAACTCGGGTTTACGGCCATACTCAGGCTCGAATTCCGGTTTCCGGCCATACTCAGGCTCGAATTCCGGTTTCCCGCCGTATCCAGATTCGTACTCCGGCTTCCTTCCGTACTCTGACTCATACTCGGGTTTCCGACCATACCCAGATTCGTATTCCGGTTTCCGACCGTACTCTGATGACTCGTACTCGGGTTTACGGCCATATCCAGATTCATATTCTGGTTTCCGGCCGTATCCATATTCAGACTCGGGCCTTCCTCCATATCCGGATTCATGCTGTACACGGCCAGGCCCAGATCCATATTGAGTTTCAGGTGGTGGATACTGAGTTTCAGGTGGTGGATATTGAATTTCAGGTGGTGGATAATCAGTCTTGCCATACCCAGATCCATACTCGGATGCGGGCTTCTCAAATTCCGGTCTCTGGCCATACCCAGATCCAACTTCGGGTCTCGGTGGCTGAGGTCTTCCTCCATACCCTTCCTCACCTCCAAAAGCGGATCCGGGTCGAGGCTTGGCACTGCCATAGGAGCTGTACTCAGTGGCCAGAGCCTCGTCAGCGTAGGCTGAAGGCTCGGCGTGAGAAGAGAACTGGGGACGAGCGTAGTCGAAGTTCCCATCGGACTCCGACGATGATGGGTGGCAAGTCTCATCGGACGGCGGCAATGGTCGCCCGTACGTCACCTGCATGTCATAACCTCCACCATAAGGGGTGGGATCGTACTCGTCGAAGTCGTGGACATCGTCTTCATCGCGATAGTAAGGCATCGTTTCAGATTCCTTTCGGTAAAGTTCACTGGTTATAATCTAGATGACGATGGAGGTGGGTTTTATACTGAGACATCTGGGCTCGAAACGACGACGTTTCGATTAACATAATTGTTTGTTGGGAGATTTTTAATGGTGGGCCTAATATTTGGTTCTACATCAACCGTCAGATTGGATTGATTTAATATTTAAATGGGTCGATGAGCTACACGTGTTGCCGACATTTCATTGATATTTGATAGTGAAATAGTATGGCCGCTGATCTAAATTATTGGATCTTTCCATGGTCAAAAAAGGGTTTAAGTACTTCAACCATTCCTCACTTGATACCTCATACCTCTACTCTCTAGTCCAAGTTTCATGATCTCTTATCCCTTTGAATCCAATAAGATGATCTTATGGATATTCAAACCCAATTCCCCTATCTTAATTTTAAGATCTTACTTAAAGATAATCGATATGCATAAAGATACTAATAATATCAGCAATTTATTAAAGGTATTAAAAAAGTTAAAGGATAATGTTACAGTTACAACTGCCGACATAGAAGTAGACAAAAATTTTATAAAATAATTTTAAGTTTTTACTTAAAGATAATCGAAATACATAAAGATACTATTATAAGCAATTTATTAAAGGTATTAAAAAAGATAAAGGATAATGTTACAGTTACAATTATCGACATCCAAATGAACAAAAGTTTTATAAAATTCATGTAAAATAACTAATATGTTTTATGTACAACTGACGACATACAAATGAACAAAAGTTTTACAAAATTCATATAAAATAACTAATGTGTTTTATGTTTTTTACCTGATTGTGTGATTAAGTTGTAAACATAGCATTATTTAAAGTTAAAAGACGATAATGGATGGATGAAATTAGATTTTCTAATAAACCATCATTGGGTGGCATGATGGTAAAAGAGCAAAGGAGAATTTAATATAGTCTCTCAAGTTCGAGTCTCCTTGATAATAAAAGAGTAATAAAAAGATCTAATATGAAGTCCTAAGTTCGAGTCCTCTCGAGAGTAAAAGAGCAAGAAGATGATCTAATATAGTCTATTGAGTTCGAGTCTCCACAGTTGCTAATAAGGGTGGTCATTGGAGTTCATACCCAACTGATTGTTCCAGTGTCTCTAAGGATTAGTTAAAGTGCACGTAAGCTGACCTAGACACTTTTGGTCACAAAAAAAAAAAAAAAAATTTGTGAAGGGCCCCAAAAATTAGTTAAGGTATGTACAAGCTAACCCAAACACAGAAAAAAAAAAAAAAATTGTGAGCATCAACTAATAAAGTTTCTCAAGTAGTAGGATCTCATAGATTCATATAGTCTCTCAAATTAGAGCCCTCTTGATGGTGAAAAAAAGCAAGAGTGTATGTAAACTAGCCCGGTGAAAAAAGCAAGAGTGTAAGTAAACTAGCCCGGAGACCAAGTTCACACAAACAGACATATCACATTAACATGAGTAACATAATCAAAGGAAAAATTTGTCTTAATAAGCCATTGAATTGCTTAGATTTTACCCACAAGATGTTTTTGCTAGCAATAAATCCTTCACAAACGATCCATAAGAGCAAAAACATAAACCATTTCTCCTCAAATCCCTTGTCTTCCCTCCATTTCCCTGATTGATTGAGTTTGAGCCACATGGAAACCAAAAGAGAGGACACCACTACAATAACCTCTTCTCCATCCTCTTAAAACAATACAGGCAAGCATCATAACAAACAACAAAAACCCACTTCAAGATTCTCCCTTTGGACAACTCAAACTACTTTAACAACGCCAGCAATAATCTTACATTACATCAGTTGACATAAACTCACGAAAAAACAAAACCTTTTTATCTTGATCTGCGTTTCTTCTCCGCAATCAATAATGGCGTCTTGTGTGGTGACGGTGGCGCAAGACGGCTCCGGGGACTACAAGACGGTGCAGGAGGCTATTGATATGGTGCCACTCGGCAACAATTGTCGCACCATCATTCGTGTATCACCGGGAATTTATAATCAACCTGTCTACGTCCCCAAAACCAAGAACTTCATTACACTCGCGGCTCTTTCCCCAGAATCTACGATCCTCACTTGGAACAACACTGCCACCAAGATAGAACACCACCAGGTTTAATGGGTGCACGGATTTTTGGTGCCACGCTTATCTGGGTTTCTGATACGTTGACAAAAATTGGATTTTTTTGGGGTATAATGTATAATGTTTGTTTTGTTATGGTTTTGCAGGCTGCGAGGGTGATTGGTACTGGGACGTTTGGGTGTGGGAGTGTGATAGTTGAGGGAGAAGATTTTATTGCTGAGAATATCACTTTTGAGAACTCTTCACCTGAGGTAGTTTCTGTTCTTTTACCTGTTTGTTAATAGGCACTGTTCAATTGAATGCTTGTTCATTGATTTGTGGTGGAAATGGGACATTTTGGGACTTGATATGTTGATCCTTTTTATCTTTAATGGGTATGGATGAAATGTGGGGACTTGTTGTTTGGAGTTTTTGATGTGTTCAAAATATTTTGTAATTGTTTGTATTTATGTTCTGGTCTTGTTTATATGTGCATTTTGGGCACTTGAGATTGTGTCATGAAATTTTGGGGGCTGTTTCGGGTTTTATAGAGTTGATTAAAAATGCTTAGTAAATTTTTTTGTAAGTGCTTTGATGTTATTGTGATGATTCGAGTCTTGCTTTATCATTCTCTATCTTACATTTTATAGGGTTCTGGCCAAGCTGTGGCAATCAGAGTAACAGCAGATCGATGTGCTTTCTACAATTGCAGGTTTCTTGGGTGGCAGGTATGTTATAAACGTCGAGTTCATTTTGTCTAATTGATACGTAACAATGTTATTGATTCTTTGAACGTATCATCTAGATGATAGGATAACTTGAAATAATTAACTTGTTGGTGGATGATTTATATTGTGAGACCTTTGTACAAGGAAACAAATTTAACTTGTGTTTTCATTCATATTATTTGACAAACTTATCGTGTTTAATGTAAAAATTATTTGTTCCTTAAGCAAAACGGGTGGGGATTTTAGTTATTGATTGAATCAATGATGTCTTTGGGCATAAGATGACCTAGGAAATAATAATCTTTAGAAGATATTGTATTTTGATGAATAAAAGTTATTGGATGAGATAGTTGTAATTATAGGTGATTTCTTGCAGGTTCAGTCAAATTAATTTAGTATTTTGAACCAACAATAGACAGTGGTTGCCAGTAAGTCCGTTTCGTTTGTGGAATTATTCGGACGGATATTATGTTTTGTACTTCTAGCTAAAAGATAGCTGCTGCCGATTTTCATGCAGGATACTCTGTACTTACATTATGGAAAACAGTATCTGAAAGATTGCTATATTGAAGGAAGCGTGGATTTCATTTTTGGGAATAGTACTGCTCTCTTAGAGCATTGTCATATCCATTGCAAGTCCGCAGGTTTTATAACTGCACAAAGCAGGAAATCTTCTCAGGAGACAACTGGTTATGTGTTTTTGAGGTGTGTGGCCAACTCTTTTCTCTTTTCGTTTTAAAGAAAAAATCCCACCACGGGCTTTATACAGTCTAAAACTGTAAGTTATTTAGGGCCCTAAAAATGTTCTATCCTGACGGAATTCATCATCATTACTGATATTTAAATCAACCGATAAATTTTTTCTCATGCAACAGGATCATGCCTGACCAAGATGTCTTAAGTTATTTTGTACATGTGTACCATGGTTCCCTATTTCCTGCATGAACATTTATTGCATTAATGCAGATGTGTGATTACTGGCAATGGAGGTTCAGCGTATACATATCTTGGACGCCCATGGGGACCTTTTGGAAGGGTGGTCTTTGCACATACTTACATAGATGCATGTGTCAAACATGTAGGTTGGCACAACTGGGGCAAAGCTGAGAACGAGAGAAGTGCTTGCTTTTATGAGTACAGGTATTTCAAGTTTAAGAACAATCTTTCTTTCCATTTTCTCTCTAGATTTTGGGATTTTTTGGAAAGTTAAATTAGTATCTGGATGACCCTTTTTTTTTTTTTTTTTTTTCACATATGAGCTACGGAGTATGTAATCTATTTTGCATGACATGGAGGTTTTGAGCATATGATCACTAGGATACTGTTAAACAATTTTCTTTCTTTTTTTCCTGGTAGTCATTGTTAAATGAGTTTTGACAGTTCAGTCGAAACTGCAGGTGTTTCGGGCCTGGTAGCTGCTCTGCAAATCGTGTGACATGGGCTAGAGAACTGATAGATGAAGAAGCAGATCAGTTTCTGATGCATAACTTCATCGATCCAAATCCGCAAAGGCCTTGGCTAGCCCAGAAAATGTGCCTGAGGGTACCATATTCTGCGTAGAGTTTATAATTGAACGCGGCAAGCAAAAGAAGATTCCCAGAAAAATAATCAGACAATTGATGTCAATGAAATCTTAATTGTGTGCAATGAACAAAGTCTCGGCCTGGCTATTTCAACTATTGTTTGTCAAATTTATGAGAGACTTTATGAGTGTTTGTTTATATTAGATATTTGTAAGTGATTGGCCATGCTTCTTGATGCCAGATGCTGCTTTATTTATTTATATATTTAAATTTCTCCTATAGAATTTAATTGGACTTCAATGTTATTCAATATATTATAGGTATATGAGTCCATGGTTTTAGCAAAGTATTTTTACTTGGTGTTGAGAATACATGAAATGTCCTTCATTTCATGACAATGAAAAAAACTATATATCAAATAATAAAACAAACTTAATACTGAAATGTGATGAACGTCTAATAAACTATAACCCTTTTAACAAACTATATATATATATAAAATTCATCTTCAATTAATGGATCAAAATAGAAGTACATCTTGTTCATTAACATCTCGGAAATATGCTAAGCTATAGTTAGGGTAGTCAAACCAACTCTCATGCGATCTCTTGATGGTTCATTTATCTGACCATAGACTAAAGCCATTTTTGATTTCATGAGATTTTGTTTATTAATTATGTCATATTCTTTTGTTTCCATGTAATGATCATTTCCTTCATGAATAGGTTCATCGACTCCGCCAAATATGTTTATTCAACATATCTTTTGTACAATTTTCATTTAAAACATCCAATCATTTATCGAAAACAACTAATTGTTAAGTCAAAAATACCAGTAGTGTATTCTACGTATTTTTTAATCCCTGGAACTATTACATATAGTTCATAAAAATGTTATTGGTGAAATTATGAGGTGTAGTCCGACTGGTAACTGAATCGCCAATAAAACGAATTTTATTTGTAATGTCAAGGATTGGAACCGTACTGAAAGTACTTTGTGGTCAAAGATACTTACCTGATTTACCTAAGCTCTGATCGAGAGTAGTCTCATACCTTTAGGTATGCGGAGACTCGAGGCTTTCTAAAAAAAAAAAAAAAAAAAAAAATTAAATTGTTATCGGAGAATGATAGCGTTGATTTCCCAAAATTGAAAGAAAAACCGTTTTTGGCCAAACCAAGCGTCTTTGTCCTTTCGAACAGCGAGTAGACACAACAGTACAACACAACCACTAAATGAAGAATAAGAAGTAGGCCCACGGCACTATCAGAAGTCCCTGTAAGAGTGCCACATAGACAACAACAGCCTAATCAAGATATGCTTATCTAATGTACCTTTCTTCTTCCGAACACAAAATTCACTTTCCTCTCCCTCATTCTCAAATTTTCTGTTCAAAACACAAAACAACAAAGAAACAGGCCACAAACTCAACAAATGAGTGAACTTGCAGCTTCTGCTCTTGCGCCATGCAAACTAAAGCTGAAGCAAGAATGGCTATATCAACATCAATATCAATACCATAGCCATGCATTAACGTTAACCAAAAGATCAAATTCACAGGCTTCTTTTTTAGTGGTCAAGGGCCAAATGACAATGAAGCCTGCCGCTTACTCTTCAAGAATGTCTACTGACATTCCATTCTACGAGTCTCCTGGGGTATACGTATACCCTTTTGTTTATTTGTTAATTTTTCGAGGTGGGATTTTTGTGTTGATTGATTTGAGACTGTTTGTTTGCTTTTTGCAGGCCTCCTTTGATCAGTACTTGGATGATAAACCTAGAGTTTTTAAAGCGATTTTTCCAGACAAACGAAGAAGCCACCAACTTAATGAGGTTTGGTTTCTTTTAAATTTTGTTTTTATTTGATTTATAGTGGTTCATAGCAGTTACTAATTAGGCATAAATTTTGTGTCATATGATTATAGCATGGTTGATTTGTGGGTTTACCGGAGAATTTTAGTTATAAGGAATTTGAAATGTTTGATAATTGGTGTAATTAATAAGTCTTATTATACTTGATCATCTTTGTGGAAGTTCAATCTTGGATTATAGAGACCTCTTATGCTAGTAAGGATACTGATTTGCGCAACAAGCGAAAGGGTTCTGAGGACAAGGAATGGAGTATAATGACTGGAGTATTTCTATGCCAGTGTAATTGAATAATCTTATGATCACATCTAATTATGTAGCTCTCGTTGAAAGAGTGCAGCCATAACAAAATTGGTTATTTGTGTTGTGTGTATTGAGTTGGTTATTGATGAGAAATTCCCATTAAGAAGTCCCCCGAACTAACAGTAATTGGGTTACTGGAAAGGAGTTTAAATCAGCACAGAAAGTTATTTGTGTGAGAGCTATAAAGGCAATGCTCTTGCCCAGAATTTTAGAAGTGTTGTGGGCATGAAAACTAGAAACTTGTTTAGTTTATGTAGTTCATTAGGAGAAAGGGCAGAAGTGCTCAAGCTTAGCCATTCAACCCTTGTATTTTGCATTTAGGCAGTTTTAGTTTTTTGAGAATTGGAATCATGGCATTTCCCCAAATGACCACTGAAAAATTTCAATAAATTATGGTTATCCTTTTCAATTCTTTTGCCTCTGGTATCTTCTAATGTGAAATTTATGCAGGAGGAGTGGAGAATTCAGATGTTGCCCATACAGTTCCTCTTCCTGACTGTCTGGCCGGTAATAGATATGAGGTTGAGATGCAAAACTGGAGGGAAAGACTACCCTCCAGGAGTTCCAAGTGATATCAAAAAGGTTCTTGAGCTCGGCATTGTAAGTCATGGTCACACATCAATGAACTTTTTTCGTAATTTTGTATCATTCTCTTTGGATTTATTCCAAAGCCATTCTTTTTCAGACAAGATGGGAGCTAAGAGGACTTGATACTGTTCTCGAGCCGTCTCAATTTTCTCTTGGCGTAAAAGGAGCATTATACTCTGACAGTCGAGGACCAAGAAGCCGGCTTAAAGGTCAACTAGAGATGAATATAAGCTTCATACTTCCTCCTGCCCTTGCATTGATCCCCGAAGATGTTCGTAGAAACATTGCAGAGTCGGTAAGACCCCGAAACCCTCTTCTCATTTCAACATTTTCCACAAGCCTTTTATATGTTCCTGAGTGCTGACCAAACCTCTCTAAATAAAATATTTTCTGAAAAGGTGTTAACAACACTGGTGGAGAACATGAAGCATAAAGTTAATGGTAGCTTACTTGCAGATTATAGTAAATTCAAGAGGGAGAGACCTACATCTAGAAAGTCTGAGTTAATTAACGAGTATGAGGCTTCGAAGAGCAAACTAAACTAAGACATACTTAGGACACGCAGCAGAATTCTGAAGTAATTCACGGCTTGTTAAGGTTTGTTAATGTAACATTCTTTGAGTGAAGGGCATACAAAACCAGAAGTTATATTTACCAAAAATCGCAGCAAGAGCAAGAACCTTGCTTGAAACAATGAAAACGATTACGATCTCTAATAACAATTTCCTTGTTGTAAATCTTTGAAACAATTTTAATGGCAGAGTGACAGTCTTGACATATCCTTAGATTCTTGAAAATGTGAAGAGGAGCACCAGGTTTTGTGCTCATAAGCCCAAAACACACTGCAAGTTTCTCACTGTGCACAAACAAAGCCTGCTCCTACTCCTCCATGTCTTCACCGCATAAAACCTGTGAGGCTGTGTTTGGAGTGTAACCCGCCAATCTCAGACTCCAAATCATCTCATCCAACTTACTGTAAATCTCTCGCGTTTGTGGGTGTGATTTATCCCCTGCAGAAAACTGATGTGCTTTGCCGGCAACATGAATGGAACTCATTCCGGGTACCTTCTTTATACCCTTGTTCTTGAGAACCTGCCGCAGGGAATTAGCCTTGCCGTGCTTTCCAGCTGAAGCATACATGTTTGAGAGAAGGATATGATATTCTGTGTTGTGGGGATCCATCTGAATTAGCTCTTGCAGAACGCGTTCACCAAGCTGCAGCTTTCCGTGGACACTGCAGGAGCCCAGAAGGGATCCCAGAACAACTTCATTTGGTGGCATCGGCATTCTTTTGATCAGATTCTCAGCTTCTTCTAATCGACCAACTCGACCTAGAAGATCCACCATACAAGCGTAGTGTTCAACTTTGGGTGTTAAACCATACACAGATTCAATGCTGTGAAAATATTGCCAACCTTGATCAACAAGCCCTGAGTGGCTGCAGCCACTCAACACAGCCATAAATGTCAATTCATTTGGTTTAACTTCTTCAATCATCTTCGAGAACATCTCCAGCACAGTTTTACCCCATCCATGCATCGCTAAACCATTAAGCATCGCGTTCCATGCCACCACATTCTTCAATGGCATGTACTCGAAAACTTTGAATGCTGTATCTATCCTTCCACATTTCGCATACATGTCGACCAAAGCTGTGCCAACCTTAACATCAATCTCCTTCCCCATTGCCTTCAAGGCATAAACATGAACCCACCTACCCATCACCATATCTCCAGATTGAGCACAAGCCGATAAGATTGAACAAAGTGTAACAGAATTTAGCCCATGTCCTAAGCTTAAAACCATTTCACCTAAAAGCGAAAAACCTTCATGGTGATATCCACTCTCCACATAACCCACAATCATAATTGTCCAGGCAACTTCATTCCTCTCCGGCAATTCATCAAACACTAACCTCCCTTTCTCTACACCTTCCCATTTCACTACACCATCCAAAACCACAGTCCATGACACCACACTCTTCACCTCCATCTCGGTAAAAATCGATCTCACCTCATTTACCAACCCGCACTTTCCATAAATATCCATCAGCGTATTGCAGGTCCTAACGTTAAACCCTAAACCCATCTTCACCACACAAGCATGTCCCTGAACACCCACATGCAAATCCCTCAACCCAGCACACAAACTCAACAAACAAGTCATGGTCAGCCCATCTATTCCCACATTTTCCTTCCGCATTTTAGCAAATAAACTTATGGCATCTTGGGGCATACCATGGCGGGCAAGACAACCAATAAGGGCAGTCCAGTCTGCAGTGTCTTTGTGTGACGGGGGAATTTGATCGAACAGTTTACGTGCGTGTAAAGTTGCACCACATGCTGCATATAAATGAAGAAGAGGGTTGAGGAGGAAGGCGTTTGGAATGGAGGATAGACCAGTGGTGAGGATTACAGCGTGCAAAATTTTTCCGGAGGCAAGGGAAGGCTGACGAGCACATGCCCGGAGAAGAGAACGGAAAGATCGGACAGATAGACGAGGGAGGGAGTGGTAAATCGGCCATCTCATGAGAGGTTAGTGTGTCATAGGTGAATACCGGATTCCAAGATAATCTTTAACGGTAAGCGTGGTTAAGGAAATATTGTATCATTTGGAAAATATTATATTGAGAAATATGTTTTGGTTGGTTGAAATAAATCGATGAATATATTATAATATAATATTATTTGTTCTTCTTTTAAAACAATAATATAATATTATTTTTTAAATTATTCTTTTTAACCGATATTTAAAATTTTGTTAAAACACATCATCCATATGAAACTTTAATTTATAATAAAATTATTCTCATCCATCCCAAGCCACTGTCAGCAGTCAATCACCACTATTGATAACTATCGTAATGGCGTACGACTAGCTGGATCTGACTGGTAAAAAACGATTAGATTTGACAACAAAAATGCCAGATTTTTGGCTACGAAACGACAGCCATTTCACGATCAGATCTATGACGTTTCATAGCCACATCTTTGGCTGTGAAACGGCCAAATCTGATCATTTTTTGTCATGGATCACAAATCCATGGCCAGAAACATCTTTACCAACACACAACCGGCAAAATTTTGTCAGTCTTACGTCAATATGACGACTTTCGCCGGTGACCAGTAGTGATCTTGGATGATTAGGAGTATTTTGTTAACTTTTAAACTTTTTTGTAACTAAGTGTTTTAACTATATTCTCAAATGTAAAGGGACAGAACTAATTGTTATTTGATGAACATATGAGAACAAATATATTCAAAATGATAAAAGATTAAAGATAAAATAAGATCAAAATTAAAATTATCTTAATAATCTTATATTAACACTCTTTGAAAAAATAATCTGATTAACTCTAATTTTATTAACAGTAAATACTATTTATAATAAAAGATTACGTAATATTTTATTATTTGACATCTAAACGAAGAGAATCTTAAAAATTAAACAAAGATTATAAAATTAATCTCATATCAAACGTAACCTAATTCCAGTTCATTGCAAAAAACGTACTTAATTTCGGGCCAAAACAAGCGGCACGGTAACAACCCAAACCAATAAAAAATGCTGGTATAAAACAAGCTGAAAATTTCTTTCCATCAACCATTTTTTTACGTCACTGTTTTAGATACAGAAGACACGGCATATCAAAGATACCTCCTAAGATTCACTCCGTAGGATAAAAGGAAGCAAAAAGGTCAGAAATTAATAAAGTGACTTCACTTAAGCACTCAATGGCAAATTCACACATAATTAAAAAAAAAAAAAAAAAAAAAAAATCATTGTCGGTAAAACAGCCACCATCCATGGAGAAAGTATCTAGGCTATTTAAGTTTGAAGTACAATATCAAGATGATTGCGATCGCAAGGACTGCAACGATGATGCCAATAATCCATTTGTTCTTGTTCATTCTCCTGGTCATGGCCGTCAAAACTTTCTTACTTTTGCCTACGTTATCATCCACTCCATGAAGCTGCAACAGATGAGCAACAAACAGTGAGTACAATGGTTTGTAACTGAATATATGTCATTACAGCTTGAACTGGAAAAAAACAGATTTTCGTAACTGAATAAATGTCGAAATGAGAGCTCCATCGTATTTCTTGGTTTAGAACAAATCAAAGCAGGTAACTTAAAGGAAAAGAAGTAGTAATTGGAACCCGTGAGGTGGACTCTGATGCTTCATTACTTCTGGTTGAGGAAGACCATAATCAATAACATATGGCAATGTTGATACTTAAAAGAAAAAAGTTTACAAAGTAATCACATGCTATAAAGAAATTGAAACGAGACTAAATATCAAAAGGCAAACAGCTGATGTCACAAATGATAAGGGCACAATGAATTTAATAAAAAAGCTACCGTGTTGTTGGCATGTAAAAGCGCTTGTCTCTGTGAACTCAAATCATGGAGAATTGAAACACCAAGCTCCTCGGTTTCCAGCATGGTTTTTCTACTTTCCTGAACTCTATCACTAGACTGATATAATCTCCCTGTTGCTGACATTAATCTTGATCTTTGATCAGCCGATGCCTATTATATGAGCATCATCATAGTGGGAAAAATTGATCAACAATTTTTATGAATAAGGATGAGCAAAGACTAATAGTAGAATAAACGAATAAGATCAAATGAAAAGGTATGAAGTTTTTGGTAAACAGCTCCATATTCCTTATTAACACTAAACAATTAGGACGCCTAGATGAAGATATTTTATACTAGTATATAGGTCAGCAAATAAAATCCTACATAATTTTATAACTAATATAGAAGAAAGTTTAAGAAAAATACAATCACATGTACTACATCTTTTTTATTCTTCAATCACTCAGCATATAAAATGAAAAAAAAAACTAACACAGAACCGCATAGCAGCCCTTAAAATGCACCCAAACAAATCATAAGTTCGGGCAAATGAAGTCAAACTAGCAACTCAGCTAATTATTTTTTACCTCTAAACTATGTCCATAAATCTCTTATCAGATTGATACCTTAAAACGGCATTGAAAACTATTAACTACTTTAAAAACAAACTAGGCAGGCTACACATACCGTCATCGTATCTGCCATTCCCGATTCCAACAACTCATCACGAGCAGCAGCATTCAAATTCCCAGATGCAAGTCTCTTATGTTCGGTTTTCAGATTGTTTAAATCTGACTTATACTCCCTCAACTTAGCAAGAAGCACAGCCTTAACATTAGGCGGTAAACTTCTCGCTTCAAGGTCCATTTTCCGAATCTGCCAAAGTATAACCCTTCAACCATCACATTCAACACCACCAACACAATCCAAACTACACTTTAATAAAATGTATCACGACCATTGAAAATTAATTCCCATTTATATTTTTTAAATACTTCTAAAAAGAAAAATTTATAAACTAAGAAAGCAAGAGACGCAAGAAGTTTTATAAAACCTGTTTGGTTGAAATGATTTCAAAAAAAAAAAAAATTCACATACAGTCCTAATCCTAAAAATTAGTGCAAAATTAGATAAATTTTAAAAATATTATATAATTCAAGTTTTTAGATTTTAGAAAATCAAAATACAACTCAACTTCAAACAAACGCTACATTAATCGGTTACCCAAAAAAAAAAAAAACACACTACATTAATCAATTACTATACCAACGATTCGGCTTCATCAACTCCACTTTTTATTTCAGACACTTTTTGCTTCTTCTGCTCTGCAAATAATACATAAAATCATCAAAATCAGAAAATCAAAGCTTCATAATAATTCTAATCATCATAAACTTGCACTAATTTTTCGTTTGTACATTACCTCCATAAAGAGCGGCAGCTGCAGTGCACTTCTTCAAAAGATTCGCCGAAATCTCGCAGTACTGCCGCTCGTATCCTTCGAATACCTCACTCATCGTCTGTTAATCGAAAAAAAATCTGTTCACTGATTCGATCAACAAATTAAACAAAATTACAATCTCAATTTCGATACGCAGTCACAAAACAAATCGTGATTCTCTACAGATTCCCGAACCTGAATGTTTCGGAGAAACCGAAGTTCGTTAAGATCGCAGAGTAACTAAGTTGAATTTCTTTCCTTTTCTACCTTTCTTGCGATTGCGAAGGTTCTCGAAACGGAGGTTAATTGGCTAATGAAAGATCGAAACGACGGTGAATGCTCGCGTGGGTGATAATGGGAGGTGAATGATAATGTTACATGCTAGTTCGTGACGGGTTCGTGAAAAGTTGGCATGTCGTAGTTTTTTTTTAAACGTGGCGGAAAATTATTGGTTTTTGTATGGAGGCTACAGGTAAGATTATATTTGCTCGAGTCTCTATAGAAGCGGTGAATATACGGATCAGGTTATGTGTTTTGACTTATTAATATTAAAATTTATTTTTTAAAAATAATAAAAATAATTTTAAATAATTTTTTTAGGCTTAATTCCTCCTAGTTGACAAATTTATCATATCCAGAGGTTAAAGGTTTTGTGTTCGAGTATGTACATTGACCACCTATCATATTCGTGATGTGATTTATATGAATTATTGAGTTTATAAGATATTTAATAGACCTAAAGATTAGTTCAATAAATTCGAAGATTAATTGAGGTGCGCACAAACTGACACAGACACCGCAATTATAATAAGATTTACATAGTCTATTGATTTTGTAGGTTGTAATGTGACTTACCTGATCCATTGGATTTATATGATGTTCAATAGACTCGGAGATTAGTTGAAGTGTGTATAAACTGACTTGAACACCTTGGTTATAATAAGACTTACTTAGTCCATTAGGTTTGTGAGGTATTCAATGAACCCGAAAATTAGTTGAGATACGCATAAACTGACTCGAACACTCTAGTTATGACAAGACTTATCTACTCCATTGGAATTATAAAATGTTCAATAGATCTGAAGATTAGTTAATATATGCACAAACTGAGCGAGACACCTTGGTTATAATAAATAATATATCAAAGTCAAAAAAACAGGAATTAAAACAAAGCCAGGGATTTATATATTCCTAATTAGTTTAATAACGGTAAGACCACTAATGAAAAATGTGAAAGCAAATAAATATACATTTTAATGAGGAAAACAATACTATATAAAAGGCATCAAATATGTCTAAAGAATAACACAATTGTTTTCTACCAATAATCATCTCGCCTAGTGATATTTTTCTCTCCATAAAGTGTCCTAAAAACACTGTATTATCATAGAGTATATGACACCAAGTATACAAAGATATGGTGAAATTTATGTTTTTGGTATAAAGATTAGTAACAAAAGTACAAAATTTAAGGAGGGGTCTACTTCGATCCCTTGAAGAACAAATCTCTCTAATGGGGATCACTCCTTTCAAAGAGTGGAAAAATGCAGCAGCGACTCCAGGAAAACTGAGATGCTCAAACTATTAAACTTGGTCTTTGTGTTTTTGCTTTGGCAATCCTTCTTAATGGCTTGAATCTATTCAACAAATCTTTGGTTGGTGAAGGGTGGATATTTGCAGATGTAAACATCGACAGACAGTCGACTGGAGTTTAACTGGTACAGATGAATATCATCGAGGCAATCTACATTTCCCAAGCAAAATGATAGAAAATTCTCTGCACAAATTTTATCTGCTTTCTGTACTCTCACCTGATTGAACAACTTCGGATCCATCAGGTGCAGGACCTTCCCCGGCTTTTATGTGTTTTGCTTTCAATTGCTCCACTTCATGATCAGGGAAAACTTCCGATAGCAAGGATGGGGCTATTTTCTTCACATGCAACCATGTCAGCTGCCAAAAGCTGTCCCCACCAATATCATCAGTGGGCAAAAGAATGCCAGCAGTCTTCATCACCAGCAGATTGTTCTTCAGAAGCTCGGGAACTAATTCATGAATATTCTCAGATCGCTTTCCCCGGAGTCTTAGTTTCATATATCCCTCCATATGATTAAGAACCCCAAGCCATAATTTGCAGAAAGATGGTTGCTGTGAGAGATCCTGCAGTGACTGTAAGAATGCTTTCGACATTAGTTTCATGGCTAGAACTAGTGTTCCATCAATGTTTCTGTAATCCTTTGGAGAGTTAGCTTGAGCAATTTCTAATAAATCATCGAGCAATGTGAATATGGCCATATCAAAGCACTGGAACCACAAGGCATTTGGAAGGTGAATCCCATCTACTGCTGCCAGAGATCTCTGCAACACCAGAACAGCATGGTTCCTCACCTCTTCTCTCTGGTCCAAAGACACTTTCTTCAGTCCCTGAACCAGCCTCAGCCACATCTCCCCAATGTCTTGGCTCAACTTCAAAGCAGCCTCCTCTCCCACTGTGTTCTTTGTCTCAGTAGACCATCTTACAAGACAAACAACAGAGCCTCCCATCAAATCTAGGGCAGAAACAGACCTGTCAACCTCACCAACCCGAGACTCAGCAAATTGTCTTGCTGCATCCACACACAGAATATAATTCGATGGCAACAAGTGCACCCCGTCAGACATGATAAAAGCTAGTGCTTCAAATCCTGCTTCTGATGCTTCAGGATGTCGGGCTGTGATAGATAGAAGGGAAATGATTGTGCGCCACCCTGCATGAGATCTGATGTGAGTTGCATTTGCTTTTACAAGGCGCATAACTTCCTGTGTAATGTGCTCACAATAGGCATCAGCAACCCTGGCATCAAGTTTCAGTATTAGATGGAGTGACTTAAGGAGTTCGTCAGTCAGGTTTTCCTTATAGGGAAGAAGTCGCTGGCATATCCTTAGGAGCCCAAACACAGCTTTCTCTACCAGCTTGCATGGCATTACAGTTGACTGAACAATACTGGCTATGTGCTCATAAACACCCTGCCAGATAAGCATAATTCTATCCCGATTATTCAGTGTAATTGCAATCAGCAATTCCAGGCAAAACACACCCGTGTCTTCATCTTCCATGGAGATACTTCCCTTATGGAGTCGGCCGGCAGCCAAAATAAGAGCCTTTACAAGCTCCATTAAAGACTCAGCTTGGAGAAACTTACTCTCCGTAAATATGCTATCAATGTGGCAATTCTGTATTATCTCATGAGTTCGCTGCTTAGCTGCAATTTCTTCCTCACTTGGCTGCAACGTTGGCTCCTCAATATCAAATGATAAGAGTTGACTGAAGCGACCAATCAAACCAGATGACTTCCGCGAAGTGGCCAGAGGTGTTACATGCGATGTTGATAAAGAACCAGTGGCAGGTTTACCCTGCTCCACATCGGAGGATGGCTCCATATCATCAGCTGCATCTCTAGCTAGACGAGCAGGTAGAAGACCAAGCTTGTGCAAGCTTAAGACACAATCCAAAATATTTTTCCAGCCACAGTGGATGTAATCACCATACCTGTTTGCTATTGTAAAAACTGTTGTCATTGCCATCCTGGCTTTGGTGTCATCTCCAAAGGCAAGAACAGCTTCTTCAACAGATAACGGATTCAGGAGGGCTGTGAATCTACAGAGGCACAGAACTAAATCATCCAAGACACCACCAAAATGACAGCATGTTGAAATTTTGGCAATGGCCAAGAATCCATCAATGCATCTCTGCAATATATCTTCCTGCTCCACTTGTTCAAAAACCACTGACATTGCAGCAATTGTGGGACCTGACAAGATCGCAAACATATCATGGTCGAGGAACGCAGTTGAATCACACATGATGAAAGGAGTGGTTTCTTTGGATTTATGCATTACATTTATCCAACGGCTAGATGTCATTGCTGGAAAACCAACACCTTGGTCTGGGATCATCAGGATTTCATTCTCACATATTGAAAGATAAAGCTCCGAAAGGTATTCTCGAGGAAGATCTTTCCCTCCATTGATCTGCCGATTGTTTCTGATGAAATCATCTTCAGACATCTTTTTCTTAACCTGTACATTGTGTTGATCTGTGTTGAGCAATATAATTGAATATGACAACAAGAGAGCAGCATCTTTATTGGTCAAAATATCTGGTGATTGCTCATAATATCTTTCAGAAAACGCCTCAAGCACCCTTTGTATCTTCTGTGATTCACCAGGCAATCTGAAAGTTCCTAGGAAAAGACGCAATGCAGTATCTAGAGTCATGCCTTGGAAATTAAAAGTCCCAGCAAATTCTTGAAGCACCTGAACACAAAATTCATCGTGGTTCCCGAGAAAATCCCCAATAAGATTCTTATCTAACCCAGTTGTGTACCTAAAGAAAAATGCTACACTCTGTGGGTCAAGTTTATCAGGTAGCAGATGCATTCCTTGGAGATATTCTAGACCTTTCTTAGAATCCCGGTTAAAGTGATCCGCTCCAACCATCAACCTTCTCTTGATATACTTCATCTTACGTACAAATGGAACCCAATAATAAGGGTCACCATAATCCTCACATTTCAAGCTCCAGAATGCATTATATTCCTCAGGATCTATTGATGCCCCTTCTGGAGCAGGCAATTCATTGCTCATCCTCTCTGCCATACCCTGAATCATGGATATCAAACCATCCAGAGCAAGAACATGCATTGCGGATAATGGTCCATTGACTGGAAATGCACTTTTTGATAATAGGTTTACAAGGTCCTCAAACAAATTGCCAGAGGTTATGTCACAATCAAAATTGGCATACATCTCAGTCATGAATGTCTGCTGCCTACAAAGATCAACCAAAGCCTCCATAGCAACCTCCTGCTGTTGGTAAGAAGATCCATGCTTACTCTGAGCAATCCTCAAAAGCACACACGAAAAGAAAGCTTCAAGCTGTGCTTTGAGCTCAGTACGCAAATGATGATAAAGATTGAGAACAATGCTACAAACTGTAGAAAGAATTAGTGGGCTCATGGACAAACCAAACTGCATCAGATTACGAAACAATTCATCCTGAATTAATGCCAATAATGTAGGGTGTTTACTGAATGACGACCCACCCAATTCTATAGCTGAATTAATCAAACCCAAAGCAAACAGTGGAACATCTTCATCATATGCTATTGGATTTGGTCTAGGACCAACTCCCATGTTTTCAATGACATTCAACAGAGAACAAAGGAAGTGAAAAATCTCCACCATGCATGGAACTCCAAATGGCTCCATCATTATCTTCTCACCATTTTGAGCAGCCTCCATCCCACTACTAATCTCAACCTTATTTGCATCCATCTCATTTGCATTTGACATATATTCAGTTGATGATTGACCATCATTCTCTACGCTGACATTGCCATTCTCTAACGGTTTATTTCCAAAAGTGAGATCCTTCTCCAGCCCCACCTGCACAAAAAGAAGAAACTTTAGAAATGGTCCAGGACAAGATAAATATTCCAGTTTAGAAATACAAATAAAGGAGGCAGAGCACTTCTCAATGAACTGCAACTCATCTCTAAATTTTGACTGCTCAATTAAGGCTCCAGCCAGAGCATCCAGTAACCTATTACCACTAAATGGTGAAAAAATCCAATACATGACATGAATACTCACTCTGACCACAAATCATATTTATCCACTCAATGAAAGACATAAAGCTTGTAATTTTACAACTACGATAGATTAGCAAACCTATTTTGCCTTGGCCAGCTTAAAAGCCCAACCTCTACCCTCAAGCTCACAATCTAGCCTTTGATATATTACATCAATTACATGTTGTTGTTAGCTTTAACAGCTTGATTTAAAATCACATAAACTCCAGCTATCAAATCATCAGAGATGACCTACTGAAACAACATTCAAGTTGACAAAATCAACAGGCCAATATACAAAATATGGAACATAGGGCACCGCCACTTACTCTTGCAGTGGGGAGGGAGGTTTAGTATGCAACATATTACAAATCATCATAATATCTTGCCATAGTCTTTGTGTAATTTAAACTTTCAAGAAATGGTCCATTAAAGAGAAAAACCTATGCCAAGGTTAATATTACCTTTTCACCAGCACCTGACCAGCTTCTATCAACCAATGACTGTTCTGGGCTGTCAACATCATGAAGGTGAGAGAAAATACACCGAACCAATTCATGCATCGTATGCCGTGCTATCCGTTGCAACAATTCACCTTTGGAGCTTGCTTGATGAACTACACGAAAACATGTATTAACTATATTGCACACATGCTGATTGCTCAACTTCACTGCTGCCTTGCTTTTCATGCATGCCAGAAGAACCTGAAGTATCTTCATCAACACCACCTCTTCAGATGCTGGATCAGTTACTTCAAACCGGCAGCTTGTTACAGCATCAACTATTAAATGCATAGCATCTCCCACGTTCACAGTATCAAGATCAAGCACATCAAGTGTCAAGATTTTATAAACAGACGATAAAGCAACACCCGTGATTGGTGCACCAGTCTCATCAGATTGAATTACATCCAGAAACGGCTGAAGGTATACAGCTGGATCAATAGTATGCCACTGATTTTGCCATAAAAATATTTGTTTCCGTAATTCCTTCAAAGAATGAATAAGAGTGTGCTCTAGCTGATCATCATCTGTCACATAGCGGACTCCCCACCGTACATTTCTCCTCATCACAGCCAAAACCGCACCTATTTCAGAATTTATCATACAAGCTAAAGCTCCCCTGGAAGGTTTAACAGGGCAGGACTTGAAATCTTTACAAATAGCACTGCTTCCAGACTCCATATTCACGTGCCCCATATTTATCCCGGCTACTTCTACAATTCAAACCTACTCTTGAACCATGCCACTGTCAACCAAGCAATTAATAAACTCAAACCTGACCAAATCACACCAATTACTATAAATTAACAAAAGTCAACAAAAACCCAACTCAAAAACAAAATCATAAATTGACACATTGCTTTGGCAAATTACCGCGCCAGTCACAACCCCAAAATGGTAAAATTTACTGATCATGCATCATACATTACTAAAACAAAGTTGCATCCAATCCATATTTAGTCTCTACTTTTAGATATTAAACCTCCTGGTAACTAAAACTCCTTAATAATACCAAAAAACAACAACAATATCATTAAATAAAGAGCATCTTACTTCACAACATAAAAATGAAAATTCAGATCACAGAGACCAGATCTAACTAAAATTCCACACATAACTAGACGACTCAAAACTGAACTATCTTGAATCAAACGATACACAAACAAAGATCAGCTGAGAATCCAATAACATCAGAGGATCAAATCGGATTCAACTTTACACAGAAACCGTGAAATTGAGCTCAAAAAAACAATACCTGATATTGTTTTCACAGGATTCCCCCCTCTGAAACTCTTCTGTGAACAGGAAACGACGACGCTTTCGAGAGATCCCGTTAGTGAAATTGTGGGATTGGTTTACATTTGAGTATAGATGTAGAGATGTGAAAGGGGTCTCTCTCAAGTGTTATTGAGATTCGATTACATACAATAACACAGATCTTTCGAGTTTTGGGATGCGCGTTTTCGCGGTTTTAAGAAACGTTTCTAATAAAACTACTATTATTATTATTTTTGGTCGTTCTAATCTATTAATTTGTCCCCTTAAAGTTTGATTAATAAACAAAAACCTCTCTAATTAAATTTTAACTATTAATATTAATATAGAAAAATATTTTGATAAATATTTACTAACTCATATTAGTTAATTCTATCGAGTATTATATTATTGTTATTTCAATTTTTTTAAAAAAAAAAAAAATTGATATTATCACTTGTTTTGAATAGAAAGTGATCTCTTAAAAAGGGTATAGATAGATTGAGTGAGAACTAATCTAAATTGGCATTAAATGTTGATATTATATAAATACTTTTACATCTAATAAAAATGAGTTTATAAAAAATTAATAGTAAAATTATCTTAAATATTAATCTTTTAATAAATGTATTACAGTTTGAGTTTTTTTTTTTTTAAAAAGGTATCCAAGTTTATTAATGCACATCTCAACTAACTTTGGGAGACTAACATAGCAATCTACTATTACGATCTCCGACTTAAATCAGGAATATTCAGATAGAAAATCGAACATTCCTACTTAAATTAAGGATACTTAAATAAATAATCGAATATGAGACTGTGCGTTTATCTACATTATCTCCAATTCGTGTCAACCATGGGTCACAATTTGAATCATGAATATCTAATTAAGGTACATCTTTAAGAAAAATTATGTAATTATGAAATTATTAATAGTTTTTTTCCTTCTAATTGACCTTAAATTATCTAGAATATATTTTTTTTATATAAATTATATCTTTAAAATAATCTATAGTCCATTCACCCATTTCAAATATAATATAACCATATATTAAATATTATTAAAAAAAATCCTTTACTTCTGTAAGTTCTCCAAAGGGAATATATATATAAACACTTCAAATATATCTCAGCACAGTTATTCATTTAATCATTTCATTTTAATGCTACAAAATAAATATTAAAATACAATCTTTTTCCATTTTACTTCATATACATGATCATTAATCTTAAATTATTATTATTATTTATTTAGTTATTATTATTATTATTATTTAGTATGTATTAATCAAAATCTACTTCCATAATTCCATGCCATACCATAGCGTCATTGATAATAATTGTCGGATATTCATTAAAGCTAAAGGGCAAAAATGTCAATTAAACTGTAAATAGTTAAATACAGTAACTTCTCTTTCGCAAAGGTGGCTGAAGCTCAACGCTCAAGCTTCGTCTTCTACTTTCCGCCTACGGTTCCTTCGGATTCTAACAGTAAAACTCTTTCTAAATGATTCTTTCCGCTCTTCTAACCTCAGTCGGAATCAATCTCGGCCTCTGTTTCTTGTTCTTCACTCTCTACTCAATTTTACGAAATCAACCTTCTAACCTCGCTGTCTACGCTCCACGTTTGGTTAGCAGACAGAAATCGCGACGGCGAAACGATGAATTCAACTTAGAAAGACTGTTTCCGTCTCCCGGTTGGGTGAGACAAGCTTGCGCGCCCTCCGAGGATAAGCTCTTGTCAACTTTAGGCTTCGATGGTGTCGTCTTCATGCGCATTTTCATTTTCTGGTAATTATTCATAACTTGATTACAAGAAGACTCCGTTTATGTTATTTCCTTGAAGTTCTGTTGAGTGGAAATATTCTTGGAAAATTTTTAAAATCGTTTCACTGATTTTTGTGTAGAAAAGTTTCAGTTGATTAATAACTTGAATGACAGATGCCAAACGGCCCCGTTTTTTAAATGTTATTGGAAAATTTAGTGATCGCTTCACAGAATTTTGTGTAGAAAAGTTGAGATCAGCATTTTCATTTTTGTTTTTCAATTGGTTTTGAGAACTATCTTTTAAACTGAAATGTTAATATGTTGCTGTATATACAGTTTTCAATTTTGTATATAAAGCGCATTAATAACACATTGTGTTGTTTTGTGATTATTAGTTTCGATGGAGTGATTTTTTGTGTCTTTTTTTATTTTTTCGTGGATGCAGTTTGAAGGTATTTACATTTGCTGGGATTATTGGTGTCTTCATCCTTCTCCCGGTTAATTATTTGGGGAATCAGCTGAGTTATGATTTTTCTGATTTGCCAAACAAGTCTTTGGACTCCTTCAGTATTTCGAATGTAGACAATGGTTCAAACAGGTGAAATGAAATTTCATTTTCCAATGGTGCTAATCTATGATAGTGATAAATCCAGAATTAGCATTATGTATGGTTGCTGGAAATAAGTTGCTGCTGAATATATGCCCCAAGTTTTACTAATCCTTGCATATCTTGTAACTTGTTAAGTGTCCTGTGTATTTGATGCACCTTGTTTACAGGAAATTTCCCATCGTGGAGTTTTCCTCCTCTTGGTGCTGCTTTTCAAAGTGCAATATGTCCTTGTTGTTGTATTATTGGTTTTTTTCTGTCCTTGAAAGCATTTATGTAGTAATAATACAAGTCATGTATATTGTCATTAATTTCCTATCCTTGATTTCCATTTAAGAACTTTTTCCTAAGAAAATGTGTCTTTTTGTTTGCAGAGGAAGTCCATAGTAAGCTTACTGTGCATTGACAGTCCAACTTGATGTATAATTTACTGGTTTTGTGAAGTTGGAGTTTTGTAATTACTTTTATTTTTCACAAAAAGAAAGTTGTTTTCGTAAATTAAAAATTTGTTTCACTTTGATTGGTTTGTGAAAGGTATATATTTTCTCAAAGTTATGCTTGTAATTTCTTAAATGATTCTTTTTTTTCTTATTATTGTAATAACATCTCTCTGATATTTTCTTGTCACACTAGTCCTGAAGTTTTTCATACGGATCATTACTAGATTCTCCAAGTATATATAATTTTATGTTATACAAACTGGCATTCGGCTTATCTGTGGTGAGAAGCTCTTATCATACTCTTGGCCTTTCTCAAGGTTATGGATTCACTTTTGTGCTGTGTATGTTTTCACTGCAGCTGTCTGCTATCTTCTTTACTATGTAAGTTTGTTCAGCTGATGCAATCACACTTTGATGATTCCTAGAAACAAAAGCTTTCTTGGCTGTTATAACATGATGAGTTTATGATTTGCAGGAGTATAGTCATATTTCGTCAAAAAGAGTTTCTTATTTCTATTCATCAAAACCTAAGCCTCATCAATTTACAATATTAGTCCGTGGTATACCTATTTCCTCTGGGGGCAGCGTCAATGAAACTGTTGAGAGTTTTTTCAAAGAGTATCATCCTTCTACTTACTTTTCACATTCTGTTGTTCGGCGGACAAACAAAATTCAAAAACTCATTGTAAGCATTTGATGCCCACTTTGATTTATTTTGAGCATTCTTCTCTCCCTCACAATGATGAAATTTATTTTAAAACCTTAGTTGTTTACTTGTGGAATGGATGTTGTATCTTACATGGGTTATCTTCTGTAGAGTGATGCGGACAAGCTGTATAGAAGACTTGCCTTCTTAAAATTGGAAAAGGATTCCCAGCAAAGGTTTAGACGTGATGGTTTTTTGGGACTCTTTGGACGCAAAGTTGATCTTTTGGACCACTATGAAAAGAAGTTGGAAGATTTGCAGGATAACGTGAGAATGGAGCGATCTTCTTTGGCAGGAAAGGTGTGTGCTATTTGTGTGTCTATAGGTACTTTTCTACTAGGATTCAAGCTCAACAAAAATGGTCATATTAACAAAAGAGTGTTTCCTCTGTTAATCTGCTTGAAAAATTTTTGGTCACCAATATAAATATAGATACAAATAGAAATATATTTGGAAGTATAAGTATCCATCAGTCCTTCAAGTGATGCTCTATTTCAAATCGGAGGTTACCTATGCAGTGCTAATATTGCCAAAACAGATTTCTGGGAGACTTGGTGTAAAACCTTTCTGAATTTGATGCTTGACATAGCTGAGTTTTAGGATGAGAATGGGGGACAATAAGGGTTCTGCTTTGTTGCCCCAGAAGTAGAACTGTGACTGTATCCAACAAGTCTCATCTTCCTTTGGTTGATCCAAGTCTCCTGATCTTTGATCTAGGTTTCTATTGCTACAGAGCCTTTAAATCATGCATTGTTTTGTACTACATTAAGGACATATAATTGTCAGTATATGCTTCATCTCAACATTGAGTAGTATGGATTGATTTTTTATGGAATAAAACAAGATTAGAAGGCATTACCTATGATTTCTAAGATTCTCACTGCATTAAAGGCTGCTAGCTCTAGGAAAGAGTTAATACACAAGTAAAACTTCAGTAACCAGCAGATTATTTGATTATTAAATTGTTTCTTGTATGAAGTTGATCTGATGCAACTGTTTCTTCTATCATGCTTTCCAAATATTTAGGATATACCAGCTGCTTTTGTGTCTTTTAAGTCACGGTTGGGTGCTGCAGTAGCTCTAAATATTAAACAGGGGGTCAATCCCACGGACTGGATCACTGAGCAAGCTCCTGATCCTCAGGATGTTTACTGGCCTTTCTTTTCAGCATCATTCATGAAAAGATGGATCTGCAAGCTGTTGGTGTATGTTGCATCTTTTGCTCTTATAGTCTTATTCCTTGTTCCAGTTGTAATTGTGCAAGGTCTTACTCACCTGGATCAGTTGGAGACTTGGTTTCCGTTTTTAAGAGGCATCCTGAGTCTGTAAGTGAATATTTCCTTACATGTTTGCTAATTGCATTGCATACCCCCCAGAGTCAAAGCAAACCAGAAGTTCCTTTGAGGTCCTTTAGTCTTCTGTGAGAAAGATATATTCATGCAATTCAACTGAAATTTTTAATAGGTCTGAAGCATCTTGTGCGAAGAAAAACCATATATTTTTTCCCTATAGTTGGAATTCATCAGGGTTTGAAGATGTGGAAGGACCTTTTAAATGACTGAAAGTAACTCTTTTTGTTTTAGGAAATTTCAAAGTTCATTGACATTTTCAATAGGTCCTATATACTTAATAATCCTGAATAAATTTGTTATGCAGAGATTACATTTTTTGTAGAATAAGAAAACTAAACTTTACCATCTTTTAAATTGCAGGACATTCATTAGTCAAGTAATTACAGGATATCTTCCCAGTCTTATCCTTCAGTTGTTCCTATCTTTTGTGCCGCCCGTCATGATACTATTTTCCTCTATTGAAGGATACATATCTCTCAGCCAGGTAGCAAAAAGTGCATGTAACAAGATGTGGTGGTTTACTGTATGGAACATTTTCTTTGTGAATGTGCTATCAGGAACAGCTCTCTATCAGGTCAATCTCTTTCTTGAGCCCAAGAAAATTCCACAGGTGCTTGCTGAAGGTGTTCCTGCACAGGTGAATATATGCCTCTACTATTAATTGCAACCTCCATAGTACAAGGAAAGAACTTTATGAACTTTTTCCATGGTTGAGTTTCAAGCTAGATTGGGCAATGTGTTTTAGCATGCTAACTGCCTGCTAGTATTCCAAAACTATGGATTTCTAGCCATCAAATTTTTTATTTTTTTTTTTAGTATTAAGGTGTTATAATTAAATTTTCAATTTTTTCTTAATATTATAATTGAGAGAATAATGCAGATTCTTTATTTTTGTATAGGCGTCATTCTTCATTGCATATGTTGTGACATCTGGATGGACCAGCCTATCATCAGAACTCTTTCGACTGACTGCTCTCATTTACAGTTTCATAAGTAGAATATTTTCTCATAATTCTGGTAATGAATTTGAGGTTCCATCAATTGCTTGGCACAGTGAGATCCCAAGGATTGTCTTCTTTGAACTTCTTGGTATCACATACTTCTTCCTTGATCCACTAATTCTTCCGTTCCTCTTGGTTTTTTATTGTCTGGGATACATCATCTACCGAAACCAGGTATTGGAGTGCTTTTCTTAAATTCTTCAAATTATTAGATGTTAACAAAATACTTAATAATGCTCCTTTGTCAAAAGATTTTATTTGCACCTTCTAGATGTGGCTATTGGCTTGGTGTAGTAATACTTCTTCCTGGTGTTGATTTTACATTTTTATGAGCAGTCTAAGCAGAATGAAGATTACTTGTCTCCTTGTATATAAGAACGGTGAATTTGTGCCACTACAACTTTATGTGGATTGTTATCCTTGATTTAAGTTATTGTCTACCAATCCAATGCAAATGGAAAAACATATGATTTGAAGTCTAAAATTTATGTGAATTGAGGTGTTGCTTCATCAGTACTTGAAATTCATCAGCTGACATTCAGATATTTCGTCGTTACTTTGTGATTAATTTAAACTGTTACTAGAAACTTATAGGCTGACAATTTGATATTTTCATTTTACTAGTGTTTGATCCAACTTAGTTTCTTGCATGAATTAATATGAATTTCCTTGTCCTATGTACTTTTTGTTTATTGAACTTATATTAGTATTTTTAGTACATATTTTTTCGTGTTGCAGTTATTGAATGTATATGCACCCAAGTTTGAAACTGGTGGAAAGTTTTGGCCTATAGTGCATAATTCAACAATTTTTTCCTTGATACTGATGCACATTATTGCAATCGGCATATTTGGGCTTAAGAAGCTTCCTCTGGCATCCAGTTTGACTATTCCTCTTCCAGTTCTCACACTTCTTTTTAATGAGTACTGCAGGAAACGGTTTTTACCGATGTTCACAGCTTTTCCTATGGAGGTACATTGGCATATTAACATTATCGATCTATTGTCAGACTAAACATTTCCTTCATGAATCTCTGCATTTTGTTATTGTATAGCATGGGTTTTTTAATTTGTTGTCTATGTTTCCTGTTTAATAATCAACGATGTAATCTTATAAAACTTGGAGTTGAAAGTCAAGAAATTATGATAAAAGATCAAGCAATCATCAGAAATGAGGATTCACAGTCTTCTCTTTGTTTTAGTATTTTCCATTAAGCTTGGCTTGCGATTTTTCCAACAGGGATTTTTACTTTGTTATTAACTGTATAGAAAAATAGAGTGACATTCAACCCTGGCACAAGACTCCAATGAGATCTACTTGAGAGATTGACTAGATTTAGAATTTGGTTGATGTTCAAAAGAGAAATACAAAGTTCTAACACGGTTTAAGCATTCATTCGAGCCAGTCTTCAGCTTGAGAACAGTTTCTACTAGACTTGACTCTTGAGGCCTAACCTTTGGGTTTGGGTATTAGTAGCTGGCATACTGTTTTAATCATACAGTACACAAGCTTAGGCTTTATGTGGTTGTATACATGTATTCTCTGGCTGTCTCAACTTCATGATAAGTGTGGTCCATTATATTGTTCTATTATAATCTAAAAGAGTTAGGGCCTTTAAAGATTTTTTTTTTCCTTCCCGAAAATAGTGTTCTTAGAGGGGGTTACCATGACGAAGAAATAATGCAAGAGAGATTTGAATATACTGCAGCCTAACTAACAATGTTTTCTGATCTCAAAATTCATAGAAGATTTTCCTAAAACCATTTTATGAAATTTAATTCTTGTATTATTCTACTCTTATTTGTTTTTTAATAACTTTAAACTGTTAACTTATGCCCTATAACAGTTACCTCCTTTTCAGTTCCATAGACATGATTAACAATTTTGAATCTGTGCCCTTTTGTCCAAGTGATGCCTTTTCCCTTGTTTCCATTTCTACAGACCAAATCCTAGTACTTAAGAAAATGCTGAACTTTGATGGGTCTGCATCACATGACACTCTCATATTATCTGCTCATGGAGCACTATTCATCAAAATTACATTTTATGTTGTTTTTGGAATTGAAATTTGTTTGCTTCTCACAAGTTGTTGCATTCTTTTTTTATCCATCTGGGGAAGTACTGAATATTGAAATTGTGCAGTGTTTGGTAAAGAAAGATCGAGAAGACCAGAATGACCCTACAATATCTGAGTTCTACAACAAATTAGAAAACGCCTACCGGGATCCAGCTCTGATGCCAGTTCAATATTCCTCAAGCACAGATGGACGCAATTCTCCCCTTCTTCATTCTGTTTAAGTAAGTCAATATTTTGCTTACATTTAAGCATCTCGCCGCTAGAAAGTATCCTTGTCTTATTCAGTCATACATATTGTTCTGAATCTCGTCTGCACTCCATGTGTTTGTTTGTATTATGTTCTTGAAGATTATGCCATTTGTGCATCAGAACCTTGTTTTCAGCTCGCTGTTGAATTCTAGGATGTAATTAATTTGACAACTCACTATCTTTACTATTTCTTAAGTTTGTATAATATACATAAGTTATTGGTTTCACATTATATGGAATTAGATTAGACACCAGACAACGTTTTAGTAGAATTGTCACGTCTAACGTCATTATATAATAAGTAGATGTGTTTTGGGTTATAGACGTTTAGGTGAATTCCAAAATCAAAGCTAGATTCAAAGTAGACGATTATTTATTCGAATTATTAGTTTGTTAGTTCTTTTAAGTTTGATTTTTCTGTTCATCTCAAAAGCTCATGATTATTGATTCTTATATTTAATGTGATATTTTTCTAATTGATTGACCAATGGCATATGCTAATTTAACTTGTTGATTACTCAATCTTGTAATTTTTAAATTAGTTTTAGACGTAGACATTTACTTTGTCATGTAACCTCCACGTGGAGGAACAAGAGTGGGCATTGACTCCTTCAAAGAGCCTAGTCTCCACCTTATTGACTCATAATTTAATTAATTAATTAATTAATTAATCACAAATGATATATAAAACAAGGGCTTAACAATTGGCAACACAAGCTACAGTCTTCTCCATTTTATGAAATGGTTAGCTTACCTATAATACAATATTAGGTCATACATTATAGTATTTTTGATTAATTAGTCTGTTTGACTAGATTTTACAATTCTTTTTCATGAATAATAATACCCATTTAAAAAAAAAAATATTTAAAATTAATAACTAGACTTTAGTTTTAGTGGGTCATTTTTTATTTATTTTGAAAAATTTTAATAAAATTTGAGTTACAATATTGTGATTAATTAAGTTATCAACAAATAATATTATGGGTCACTAACTAAACACTAATCACTCTTTAAGTGTTGTCTCAACTCTCAATTACATTAAGTGGAGACAAATTTTATTGTATTATCATCCCAGTGGATGATCGAGCTTGGCTTTTCTTTTGTTTAAAATCTCCAATAACCAATCAATCTTTTTGTTTTTATGATTAAATTCTCTTTAATTGTCTCATGTGAGGGACAGATTGCCTTTTAATTTAGTGATTAGCACTCTTTTGAAAGTGTGATTAGTGTTTAGTTAAGTTCAATGACATAAATTAATTAAAAAAAAAACAAACAAACACAAAAAGGTAAAAATTGTCGTCATTCGAAATAGTTTTTATTTAGTTTTTTTTTTTCCCTTAAATTATGATCGTACAATCCCCGCTTAAAAGGGATCTAATTGCAGTACTACTTTATAATAAAAAAATTATTTTCTTGTTTTTGCTTTTCTTGTGATTTTGTTTCCAAACGGGAGCTTTCTTTGAAGTTTCATTGAGTTATTGCTTTGATCCCAGATATTTTTATAATTATTAATTCTTTTTTTTTAAATTAAAATATTTATTTTGGATAAAAAGAGTACTTCCTGAAAAAAAAAAAAAACAATTATCAAGTAAAAAGCCCTTAAAATAATATGGAAAAAGCACTTCAAAACATCCCCTTTTTTTTATAATTTCCAGAAAATAAAATTAATTGCTTTAACTAAAATATTTTGCAAGAGATTTGCAACCAAAACCCCATAAAACAAAATCAAGATATTTTGAGAGAAGAGAAGATGACTGGATAATTCAATGGAGCAACCAAAGTGATGAAATATATTCTTTTTTTAATTTTAAGCTTTGGAAAAATCGACACTCTTGGCTTGTTTGGCTACTTACCCAAAGTAATTCTCCTGACCTTATTCTAGCTTAAGAAAGTGACTCAATTGTAAGTTTCCTTTGACATTGTAAAGAAATTAGATTTTGCCCTTGTAGTTCTTTTAGTTATTCCATCAAACCAAATGGTTATGGTAACTTATATACCATTTGTCTCAATCTAGACGGCATCTTCTTTAGATATTTATCAAAAGAAAAATAATTCTCAGAGTAAAAATCTCGAATAAGAAAAAATTATCAGAATTTTCATAAACAGGATGACGTTTATGATAATTTAAGTCAAAACAAATTATTTTTGCCGTTGTTTATATGGTATTATAATGATAAAGTGAGTAACACATTCGATACCCATATCATTTTTTCCTGAAAAATCATTCTACAATGTTCGGGAACAACTGTATCAACAGTACTAATGCATCGAATTCCATCAAAACTCTAAAGTATGCTTAGTTGTTAAACAAGATATAATGTTTATATAGTATCATACTATGAAATTAATATTAAATAAAGATAAAGTGGTTGCATATGTTTCTTTTTAATAACCGTTCATTTTCATCTAATGATTCAATGTACTCAATATGAGTAAACATACTGTTTGCCTTATGAAATTAATCAATATACTATATATGAGTAAATGAAATTAACCAATCCGTGGGTAGTCCAGATGGTTAGGGCGGATTAAGGATAGTGTGGATAGGCGTACGATCTCAAGTTAATTCATAGTGGTGGGTTATTGCGCTAGTCTGTCCGATTAAATGTAATTAATTTGATGGCACCCCATTTTCTCAATAAGCCTTTAGAAAACTACAGTTTTTAAATGCAAAAAACAGAAACATTCCCTCTCTAAATGCTGTAAATCTGCCTGGTTCAGCTCACAGTTTTGGGTAGTTAAATAATGCATGATTATTTTTTTGGATATTCATATAAATAGTCTCTTTCAAGATAGTGATGACTTCTATGCTTGTTTCCTTGATGCTCGAAGACACAGGCATATATATTAGTTTCATAATGTTATCATAAAATATTGTCTAAAGTGGAGGAAGAAAGAGAATAAAAAATGACATATTCAATCATATAATAAATAAAATACCTTGATAGAAAAATACCCTCTGGCTAGGTCAAGCCAACACTCATCAAATCCAGTTCCATATGGTTTGATATAGAGCTCAAATTAATAAACTAACAAGAGGGTATGAACAAGCATTAAGACCCTTTCAAATGTCTCATTTCTTTGAAAGAATCTCCACTCTCTCCATGTATAAAAACCCCCCCACACTCAACACAAACAACTTAAACAAATTAGACCCATCAAAAACCAAAATCTTAGAACAATCTTTTACCAAGTATTAAAAACAACAACACTAAATGGCAAGGAAGAGAAAGGCTTGTGATGAAGGAGCGGTGGTGGAAGAGAAAATTAATAGTAATATGGAAGGAAACATGAGTTGGGATGAGATGGTGAAGGAGGCTGCAGTGGCCGCCGCATTGGGAGGAGCAAGGCGTGCTCGAAAGCGATTTGTGGGCGTCCGGCAGCGGCCGTCGGGCCGATGGGTTGCTGAAATCAAGGACACCATACAGAAGATAAGAGTGTGGTTGGGGACTTTTGACACAGCTGAGGAAGCTGCAAGGGCCTATGATGAAGCTGCCTGCCTGCTAAGGGGAGCCAATACAAGGACAAACTTCTGGCCTTGTTCACCATCAACTTATGCAACTCCGGCTCTTCCCTCAAAGATCACAAACCTTCTTCTTCAAAGACTCAAAGCGAAGAACAATTCAGCCTCTTCTGCGTCGATTTCTTCGCCTGTGAATCCGCAAGAAAATCAGCTTCATCAAGTAGAGGAGTATAGTAATAATAAACAAGAACAAGCAGTTGCAGCTGAGCATTTCAACGGTTCACAGTTCACTGATTTTCTTAACGATCCTGAAGATTATTACACCAATGATAATATCATTACCACTAATGGAAGTACTCTTGATTCGATGACAAACAGTTTCGAGTCTTGTTTGACTGAAAAAGAAGAAGACTATGCAGGCCAATGTTCCAGTGCTGACGGCGAATTATATCAAGAACAAGAAGAATATAATGAAGTTGAGCCTATCGACTTTCATTTCCTCGACGACGTTGACTCTTCGAGTTTCTATTCTCCATTTGAGATGGCAGAAGACATAGAGGAGCCAATGGAAGCCGGAGAGAATTATGCAGATGAGCCATCAATGCTGAGAGCTGCAATGAAGAGAATGAAATATGAGAGGAAATTCTCAGCTTCTTTGTATGCCTTCAATGGCATCACAGAGTGCTTGAAATTGAAGCTGGGATCAGTGAATGTGAATGGGAAAGGCAAATCAGAACAAGTAACAAAACTTCAAAATGCTTGTAACAAGAACAAGTTAATGGAAGAGGATGAAATTCAAGAGAAGAAAGAGGAAGAAGAAGAGAACAAGGAGGAAGTTATCAGTTCAAGCAATATTGAAGGAGAACTGTCACTTTGGAGCTCACTTGATCTCCCACCAATCTGCTTTGTCAACTAATCGACAACATACACCAACGTAGATGAGCGTCGCTCGCAATAGGAATATATCATGAAAAGATGATTTTGATGATATGGTCTAATTGATTCATTACTGAACTTACTTTATATGAAATATACATTATTACATAAGATTCATTCGATTTCATGGACTGGGGAATGCTGATTTTTGGTCTTGTTTCAAAGAACAAATGCAATGTAATGTCAGGTTTTTTGCAGCGATATGAAATGAGTTTTATTTGGTAGAGACTGTTTTAAATGGTGAAGGTCTGGCCATTGTATTTTCATTTTGCTTTTTCAAGAGTTTGCACAGTTTATTTACCCATCAATGAGTTTTTTATTTTTTTTGTACTTTTATTTATAAGAATTTATTACATTGCCACTCCAAGGTTGTTTTCCCTCTCGGATTTGGGAAACTAAAATGTACTACTATTCTGAAACCTGGACCGGTCCGACGGCAGCCTCTTCAGTCCAGTTTGAGTTCCAGAGGTTTTTTTTGCTATATTTCAGACCTATAGGGACTAACTTGTAATTCTCTAAGTGTGTTTTTTCAACATTTCAAAATTTTAGGGACTAATTAAATTTTTGGGGCATTTTTGCAATAAATTTTAGGGACTAGTTAAAAATGGGTATTTTTGCCATATATTAAAATTTGAGGGACTAACTAATTTAAAATATGTAAAAATATTTTTGTTGTTGACGTAATCGGTCAAACTAACCGATCAACCTCGGAATTGGGCCTTTGATTGGGTCAAAGCCCGATCAGGCTTTTAGAACCTTGGTTACCACCCCGAATAACATTTATGTTAGTTAAATGTATTAATTCAAGAGGTAGAAAAGATATTTTGAATAAATCATTAATATTTATTGCTAATCGATTATAAGTTTTGGGAAGAGTACGGTGACCGTTTTGTTATTGTTAATTTGTTATTATTCTAGAATGTGAAATTGTTATAATTTTAATAGTGTAATTGCAATAAAGTAAACTAAGAGGGACTAAAAAGGGGCAAAATAAAGAGAGTTGAGATGAGAAGCTTTTATTTATGGATAATATTACACTTACAATCCAATCTCACAACTCTGACGTAACAGCTCGCAATTGGTCAGCTCGAAAATTGGTCTAGCCTGCTCGCTATGAGTCCCACCTGCCCATTTGCGAACTGATGAATTGCAAGCTGTCACATCGGAATTGTGAGAGAAAGTTTGTAAGATTAAATTGTGAACCAATCTTTATTCTTTATTTATAGCATTTCCCCGTCATCCCACGTCAACCTCTTATAAAGACCAATTATCCACAAATCACAAGGGAATGACAAAGGTGGGAAAAAAAAAACCCAAAAACCAAACTGAACCAAAAAACCGGACCAAAAATTTGGTTTTTTTTTTCAACCGGTTTGGTTTCGATTTTCCAAAATGAAAAAATTGAATAACTAGTTCGGTTTCGATTAAACAATATCTCATAACCGATTAACTGAATCTGGATATATAAACCAGTTATTTAAAATAATATTTTAAAATCCCCGGATGGCCAAATAGATCAAGGTTTTAAAACCGACACAGGGAATGACCTGTTCAGGCGACCAGGTCACAGGTTAACTGGTTTAACTAGCAGTTTACCAATGGTTTGACAAGTTTAAAATCTAGTAAACACACCCCTAATTAATACCATCAGACCTTATAGGTTTGAAATCTAGCAAAGACAACCCTTGGCCAAATCAAATCAGCGATCTATTGGGTGAGTGGCGACTACACTCTAGGGAGAGTAGATCGGGTGATGGGGAGGACAAATCGGCATTGGCAAGTTAAGGCATCGTCGAAAAATGGCAAATCGGTGGTGGAAGTCAAACGGTCGCGATGGCTTTTTTGGGCGAGATGACTGTGGATCTTCGTAAACGACGGCAAGGGAGCTTGGGAGAAGGTAGATTGGTGGCTAAGGAGGCTTATCGATGTCGGAGAAGGCACGATCGATGCAGGGAAATGGAAGAAAAATTGTTGGACAATGAAACATTGTGTGGCGGCGGGAGATGAAGTGTCACGACTCCGAAGAAAGTCAGAAGGTGGTTTCCGACAACAAGGGAAGGTGGAGGTCATCGGAAAAGGGGAGGTCATCGCCAATTTGTATTTGGCCAGAGGATGTGTTTGTTGGATTTCAAACCTTTAGGTACTAATGTATATTAATCAAGGGTATGTTTGATAGATTTTAAACTTGAAACGACCGAAAGGGTAACCCAACCCGAAGAAGGCCCCGAGTCCTGGTCCAACCAGCTCAACCTGCCGGGCAGGCCAGGTTTTAAAACCATGAAATAGACTAAAAACACTAAACCTAAGTTTTCCCTAAGCCTTTTTCATTTTTGCTTGCTGCGCCGCTGTCGACCAACCTCCAAGATCTTTGCATTTACACATGTTTATCTTCTTCTTCGAAACATTCTCTACTCGTGTCACTTTCCTTCGATTATTAAGGTCTCATTTTCCTCCAAATCACGTTCTCTTCTAAACCCACTTCCCTTCAAGTCTCATAAACGCAGAATCTTCACAAAATTATACTAAATCTTGAGTCTTCTACATATAAATCTGTTGACAAACAAGTAACATTGTGTCCCATTTTCTCTCTTCAGTTCCACTTTAAAGTCTTTCTTGCTTTTGTTTACTCTTAAGTCTTTAACTTTCTTCCGGTTCATACTCTCAAATTTAGCAGCTTTTTAATCTTCAAAGCATGGGTCTGCAATATCAGTTTCTGGAGGATACTTTTCTCTTATCTCAAGTGATTTGACGGCCCACATTATTGATCCCTCGTGGTGCTTCAGGACCTCCATAGGAGTTTTTTTTCATTAGTTTTGAAGAGTTTTTAATTAGAATAATTTTAAAGTGTTTTAAAACATTACTTATTAGATTTTTTATGTACTGATTTTAATTAACTAACTCGAAAACCCTCAAAATTAGTATAGTATATTTTTAAGAGATTTATAAAACACCCAAAATTAGAGTATTTTGATTAGTTTTAAAATTTTATTCCACAAATACCTTATCCACTACAAAACTATCATAATTATATCAAAAAATAATAATAATAATAATCATATTATGCTATTCTCCAACCATATTAAATATAAAATAATTTTAAGCAATCATAATAAAATAAAAAATTATTAAAATCTTATTTCTAAATGCTTTCTTGAAGAAGTATAACTACAATTTTTCAATCATTCCAGATGTTACAAAACATGAAGCAGATGAATAAGAAGACTTTATCACATTTAAAATTATAAAATACTAATAAATAGAAAACAAATAAAACTAGTTCAAGCATTAATTCTGTTAACTGGTTTTTCAAATCGGTTATTCAGTTCGGTTTAAAACTGGTTCAAGCATTAATTCGGTCAACTGGTTTTTCGAATCGGTTATTCAGTTCGGTTTAAAACTGGTTCAAGCATTAATTCGGTCCAATTTCGGTTTGAATTTTTGCTTGAACCGATTTTCAGCTCGATTTAAAAAATGACTAAAACCGGTTCGGTTAACCCGTTTTTCCCACCCCTTGACAATGGTTGTAGGTTATTGAAATATCACCTGCAAAAGAAAATGACTGAAAGTTAAGACAATTTGTCAATATGTCTCGACTCCACAGAAAATGAAAGCAGACAGGTGGCATAAGAAGAGGCTCGCGAGTGCGTGCGCAGGCGATGATTGCTTGCACTCCTCATTCAGATTAAGCACAACAGTCAATCTCATAAATTAATGAACGACTCAATTGATTTGAGGAAACTTTTCCCACCCCCGCTAAATTTTGTGGTCTTCTCTCTGCTGTTATCCAGACCCAATGTGAAGTCTTGGGATGGTTCTATGCAGCTTGCCAGCTTCTTCTATTCCAATTTTCAAAGATGCCATACTTTTTTATCCTTTCCATTCTGCTATTACTACATCTACTCCCACCATTTTTGTCTCCATCATCAACCAAAATCAACAAGACTCAGAACTACCTCAAATTAACCTCTACCAAAACAAGCGCAGCTTGGATTTATGGCACAACACGAATATTTTGCATGAAACTAGCATAATTATACAAATTAATGTAATATTAATGTTGGAAAAGCAAAAGCCAGAATATATATGAAGCGGTCTTACAATAGGATCACATCAATTTGTATGCACAACAATTTTTTCGACAAATGCAATGCAATATGTAAGATGGGATCCTTGTATTGGCATTACAGTCAAAAGCATAATCTCTTTTAAAGCTTAAAACAGGACCGTGCTTCTACATTATAGTCCAGGGTAGAATCTCTTTTAGATTTAAACACAATGCTTAAGCTGTGCATCCAAACGATATAACTTCAATAATAATACATATCTGCACTCTACAACAATTTTGCATTGTGATTTACTGATTTACTGTAAGATAAGCAAATTACACAGCCAAAAAGGATCCTCATATCATATCAACTGCATGACCACATTATGATAATTCCATTCAATAGCACATCATAATATAAAGAAAGTATTGCATACAACTCGATCATATCATATCTAATCTACATTCCCAAATCCCAATCCCAATCCCAATCCCATCCCAAATAATTATATAGTCATATTGACTATCCAATCAGAGGTTATTATTATTTCTGTCTAACCCTTACAACAAGGTTACTACAGAGTAACCAAATTAGAAGAGTTGGCATTCAGAACCAGAAAATTGCCATCAATATAAATAACTCGAGTAGCTGAAACTAGAAATTAAGATGAAATGAGTTGCTTCAAGGAAATTGATATACCATCAAAAGAAAAATTATATTATCTATGTACTGCCTGTACAGCTGCATTTACAACTTGCACCAACAATGAGCCAAACAGCATTTTAAGCACAAAGTAAACATATGTTAATACTGAAAAATTCCATCCACTTCATTCACACCAGACCTTATATCTTCTCAAGAGTAATTAGGGCTGTAGAACCAAGATGCAGAGTTACTATTGGCTGATTTGTTCAGCAACTTCACAACACAAATACACAAACAATTTCCAGGAAAAGAGAGAGGAGTGGAGCTGAAGACCTGAAGAAAACAATCTGAAAAGTTGTCTAAAAACTGAACACAGAGGAACAATTTAAGAAATTAAAGGAAGAAGAATTGTTGAGAAGTTCTAGCTTTATTTGCTGGTCTTTTTACTCTTTTTTACAGCCCTTTTGTAGAAGTTTATTGGTAATTGTAATTTTCCTAATACATTACAAATGAACCAGCTACATACAAATGTAATATGATGGTAAAATGGGATCCCCGTTTTGGCATTACTGTCAAGCATAGAATCTCTTTTAGATTACACAAGGCTTAAAACAGGAACCATGCTTCGGCATTATTGTCACGGGTAGGATCTCTTATAGATTTACACACAATGCTTATGTCGTGCATCCGAACAATACAACTTAAATAATAATACATGTCTGCACTCTATAATTATTTTGCATTGTGATTTACAATCAGATAGGCAGATTTTACGCTGAAATGACCCTCGATATTATTTCAAATGCATGATCATATCAATACAATTCCATTCAATAGCAGATCATATCAAGATAAAAACACCATACGATTCAATCATATCTAATCTAATCCCATCTGAAAAAAATATCTAGTCTTATTGACATTCCAATCAAAGAGGTCTAACCCTTACAGCAAGGTTACTATATTAGAGTTTACTTTCAGGACCAGAAAATGGTCATCAATATATTATAAATAGCTGAAGGAGCTGAACCTTAAGGTTAAAATAAAATGAGCTGCATCAAGAAATTGATATACCATCAAAAGACATTATCATCTATGTACTGCACATACAACTGCAATACGACTTGCACTTACTCCCGCAATGAACCAAAAAAGCATTTAAGCACAGAGTATACATTTGTATATACTGAAAATTCCATCCACTTCATTCACACAGACCTTATATCCTCTCAGAGTAATAAGGGCTGTACAACCAAGATGTGGAGTTACCTTGGGGCATAGACAATCACCTTGATTTGGGATGAGAAGCAGTTTGTTTTTCGGCGAAGACAGTGGCATTGGGTTGGGGGGGAATGACTTGATTACATAATATAAGTTTCTTAGACAGCTGTTGCTTCTTTCTCTCACAGGACTGAGCTCCAGTAGGATCCTGCATAAAACAAGAAGTAAACTCCATTAGAAATTCAGACAAAGCAAAAACAAGTTGCAAAGATATCTTTAAATTGAGCTTTACCATACCAAATTGAGATTTTTTATTTTTGGTTTGTATATATCAATGAGTCAAACATATTAAAAGGATTCCGAGAGATTCTAGCTCATCCTTTCTCTACATGAAACTTCAACACATTGATCATAAATCTGTCTATGCTCTGGACCGCTAAGAACCATATAAGTTTGAGTCAACTCCTAGAACTGATTCATAATACAAACACCTAATAAGGGTTAAAAAGGGAGAGCGATGCAAGACAGAGAACAGAAATTCATCCCATGTCTATGCCCACCCACATATTATAATTTGATATGTGCAATAAGTTTCACTCACTAACAGATTATTTATTAAAGAAAACATTTTCAGTAAAAAGCCCTTTTTGTGGGGGAAAAAAAAAATTCAAATCAGCATTCAGGAGAAGGGTATAAGATCCAGGAAGATACAAGAGTTACTAGTTGCAGATATTCTCTTCTTTGTCTATCCACTAGACACTGAGAGTAGAAGTTTGTAAAAAGTTCTGTATGTTGAACAACATCAACAAGTTGATTACTTGAATCTCTACTGATGGAAAGAGCATTCAAGCCTGAAACCACTCACCAGAATGCTTATATATCCTTTCATTTCCAGTTGACAAGGCAGCACTGATCACATTTAAATTGCTGATAGAAAAGAGTGTGAACTGAATTTTTGCCAATGCTTGACCAAGTATTTTGTATTTAGGGATTGACATTTAACACAACAGAATTACCAAAATTGTTAGATCGACCTGAGCATTTTCTATGGAATCTGACAATGTTACTATAGTCCAAGATGAGAGAAACAAAAAAGTTCTTAGTTAGTAAAAATATATCCTGGAAAAAGAGCAGATAAAAATTTTTAGGATGGAAACAATATCATCTATGAAGCTGAACTTTGGTATTAACAAATTGATCAATCTTAAGCATTCTGAAAATTAAGATCCAAGCATCATGAGAAAACATATGCATTCAAAACTATAGCACAACGGAAACTCGATTAATTAGGTGCATTTAAAGTCAAGTGTTCAAGCATTCAAAGTTCAATCTCAGACCTTCCTGGAAATTGAAAAAAAACCTCAACAGCATATATTCATTCCAAACCATGGCATAATTGAAACACCGTGCCATAAAGGCACTCTGGACTGCTCAACATCAACTAGACAAACAAGGGTTGTTTTTGCTGGGCATCTTTTCAATTTAACTCACAATTTCCGCAACTACGTTGACCCAAATCTTGAACAAAAACAAACTAGAAGAAGAAGGAAGAAAAGAGAAATAACACTCCCAAGTTTGGAATCACGGCCAAATGAAACCAGTCAGAGCAGCCAGATCGACCTGAGCATTTTCTAGGGAATCTGACAATGTTATCATAGTCCAAGATGAGAGTTCCAAATGGGCATAATATTGTAGAAACAAAAAAGTTCTTAATTCTAGTAAAAATATATGCTGGAAAAAGAGCAGAAAAAAAATTTTAGTATGGAAAGAATACCATCTGTGAATCTGACCTTTGGTATTAACAAATTGATCAATCTCGAGCATTCAGAAAATTAAGATCCAACCGTCATGAGAAAACATATCCATTCAAAACTATAGCACAATGGAAACTCGATTAATTAGGTGCATCTAAAGTCAAGTGTTTAAGCATTTAAAGTTGAATCTCAGAGCTTTCTGGAAAATGAAAAACAACCTCAACAGCATATATTCATTCCAAACCATGGCATAATTGAAGCACCATGCCATATAGGCACTCTGGACTGGTCAACATCAACTAGTTTAAGCATTCAAAGTAGGTGACTGTAGCAACTTATACATTAAAAAAAAAAAAAAAAATGCATTAATACAGACATGATACTACCAAATCCAGAAGTTTTTACATGGTAGAATGAGTGACGCATAGCCTATAGCATAATATTCAACAACAAGATACGATTGCAAGAACCTGTCTTATCAGGATCTTCATATTTGTTGGATGACCCATTATAGCAGTTCCTTTATAAGCCTTCCTCAGTTCGTCTTGATTTGCATTTTCAAGACACCAAGAATCCCACAATACTAGGTGTTGTGACTATTCCTTGGTCCGTGATAGAACAACGTTGAGGCCAGCAAAATGAACTCTGCTAATCCACAAAGACCAATACAAAGTCAGGAACTGGTGAACAAACACATATGCCCAACGGGAATTGTATATTACCAGGCATATTGATCCTCGGAAAACTCCTAGAGAAATTTGATGTTGAATTTCCGGGTTTTGGTGGCACAACAAAAGCCTTTGGTTTTGTCATTTCTGATTTCGTAAAAACAAATTATAAGGTAAAATCACAGATTATTTTTGCGCAAAAGAGCACATTAAAAATGCAATAATCAAGCCCCAAAAAGAATTATTGAATAAAAAAGCTTCAAAAATTAATGACTCGAGTAGTTTGGTACAGTTTTAGCTTCTTTGTCTTCCAATCTCCCAAAATATAAATAACGAACGAGAAGCTAAATTAATAGCTTCAAATCAATACAAAACCGTACATTTTAGTCTCAAAACTCGAATCAGATTAACATAATCCCTCAAATAAAAAGATGCAACTTCTATGGATCAAAGAGATACTTATAATTAGAAAGCCTATAGACAGAGAAGAGAGTAACTAGAGAGGGAAGCTTAAGAGGGAGAGTTTGAATCGTCCATAAAATCTCTCCTCACAAAGCACAGTGAAATTTCATCCCTCTTTGAGAATATTATAAACAAACAAGTAACAAGACCCAAATCTTGAACACAAAAACAAACTAGAAGGAAAAGGGAGAAAACAGAACTAACACTCCCAAGTTTGGAATCACGGCCAAATGGAACCAGTCAGAGCAGCCAGATCGACGACTAAAATAAAACCAGAAAGAGTAAACTGGCATCACCATCACAGAGAGAGAGAGAGAGAGAGAGAGAGAGAGAGAGAAAGTTGAAACAGATTGTGGGCATTTGATCCTTTCCTTGCTTCGTGGTTTGGGACAAAGAGCGCGACCTTTCCTCTTTCTTATTATATTATTAAAATAGTGTTTTTCCTTTTTTTCACTGCCCCATGACATGTTCCAATTTTTTATTATCAAGAAAATAACCAATTTGCTCATGCATAAAGAGAATAACGAAAAGAAAACGAGAAAAAAATGATTACTTCAAAGCTTATCCATTGCCATTGATAATTTTTCTTGATCACACGTATGCAAGGGGTTAAGAGAAGATTACAGCAGTATGATTATTTTAAAGTTACAGTCGAGAACGTGGATAGTCCTTAGCCGTAGGATCGACCAAAGTCCTCGATCATACGGCTAAGGATGGAAACGGTCTGTTTCTATCATACCAAAATGACGATCTTGGTATGATAGAAACCCGTAATTCTTTAATACACACGTGATAGTCCGTGATACTACAAGATACACAAGTTTTTACTTTCTAAATGGTAGAAACCATAAAACAACCTCAACAGCATATATAGCCGTTTCAATAATATATCAAAATCCTAACGGCAAAGAAAGCTTCTGGTACCCATAAACTTGGATCTGTCTTTACATAGGCACTAACTACTATCTTCGAATCACAATTTGCTCCAGATCATGCTCGGTCAGGTTGCCTCCTCCTTCAAGTCCTTCAAAATCTTCAACTGTAGCAAGAGCGGGTTCCGGGTTTTCTTCAAAATCTTCAACCGTAGCAAGAGTTGGTTCTAGATTTTCTTGATTTTGGTTGGCCCAAATGATGAAGAGGGTAGGAAGTGATGATAGAGTGTGAAAAAGATAGTTGAAGAAGCGTTTAATTAGACTCCATAACAGTGCATATGAAGGAGAGATGATAATGAGAAACAAATAGACTACTAAGAAATGTGAGGGTGGTAAAACGAATGCCACTAGGATTGACAGAGTTAGGAGAAGAGAAAATTTTCCAGGACGCAAGAAGATGGGACGACTCATAGTAAGAGGGAGTACGATGGGTATCAAGAAGAAAACTAACAGTAAAAGAAGAGTAAAAATGAATAACATGATAAATTGAAACGGATATCCAAAGATGTTTCTAGGTTGGAGTTTTGTTAACAGAAAGAAGAAGAAAAAATTAAGAAGAGGAGGGAAAAAAAGCCTCAAATCAACGGAGAAGTTCATGCTTTCAGACCCTATAACAGCAAAGACAATAAGATGAGCAGCTACGACAGGAGCTAAACGTATATTTATAGTAGAAGAGACCTCAGGGTCGGTCAGAGTAGGCAAATAGCAAAAATGGATGATCTTGTTATAATTTTAGTGGTGTAATTGTAAACTGGTTTGTTTACACGTGGTATTTTCTTAGCCCTAGGATCAAAGACTTTGCTCCTGTTAATGCAAGAACTATTCTTTGCAACGTGTAAATGGGCAAATTCTAGTTTAGAGACTAGAGAATATAGAGCACGATAATTGTTTACACGTGGCATGTTCTTTCCTCCGTTTGGTTTTGGTTTTGATTTTGGTTTTATCATTTATGTGACCTTTTACTTCTTATTCAAGTTTTTAATTTTCTATACCCACTTGCACTTCCCCCAGCTCCTTCTACGCTCTTTCCTCTTTTCACTCTTTGATTAAAACATCATTATCGTCTCTCTGATTTTCCTATCCTATCCCATGCCACGTGTCCGCATAAAATAGTTGTTGCACCGGTTTACAAATCAACTATCAAATTCTGTGAATTTTATTTATCTTTTCTTATTACATTTTAAAACTGAACATTGCGACCTTCATATATCATATTGTTTCCATTCATTTTGCCACCTCACCCTTACGTTTCTTAATGGCCTATTTGTTTCCAAGGTAATGAATGAAATCATGAATGGCAAAATAATCGTTTTGTAATGCCTCAAAGAATAGTTGTTGCATGTGGGACCCGGGGCCGGGGGTCGGTGGTGTAAAGAAAATAACAGTATAACATTTACGTACCCACTTGCACAGTTGCAGTTGCACTTCCCTATCTCCTTAAATTATGTAAATGTTCAAAGTAGAATAAGCTATCTTTGATATTCGGCAATGAACATCTGCTTATGTTCAGATGCTCATTATTCATTAAAATATTTTATGCAATAAAATACTTGTTGCATAATAACTATTTTATCCATAACATATTAAAATATTTTATGCAATAAAATATTGCATAAAGACTATCCCAAACCATGACATACTTGAAACACCGTGCCATACAGGCACTCTGGACTGCTCACAATCAACTAGTTTAAGCATTCAAAATACACCCAAATCTTGAATTAAAAAAGCAAACTAGAAGAAAAATGGAGAAAAGACAACGAACACTCCCAAGTTTTGGAATCACGACCAAATGAAATCTATCAGAGCAGCCAGATCGAAAAGGCAACAACATTACAACTAAAATAAAACCAGAAGGAGTATATGAGTATCACCATTAGAGAGAGAGAGAGAGCAAGCAAGCTGAAACCGATCGTGAGCATTTGTTTTTTCACCTGCTTTCTAGTTTGGGAAACAGAGTATGCATGGAACTGTGCAACCTTTCGACTTACTTCACGACAAAAGTATATATTATTAAAATAGTGCATTTTTACTTTTTTTTTTTTTTTTCATGCCCAATTTATGTTCCAATTTTTTTTATTTTCCAAAATTTCTTTTAACTTGGATAGATGTAATCCGAAGGTGAATATAGATTTTTCTTTTTTTCTTTTTTACCAAGATATATATATATATATATATATATATTAAAATCCAACGGCAAAGATGTCTGATAAACATAAACTTGATCCAAGATGGATGATAAACAGGACAGGCAGCAACAATTCCTTTATTGGATACTTTAATAAATTAAAAGAAAAAAAAAAAAACATCACAACAAAATCAAATTAATTGACAATCAACCAACTGACTCCAAATGCCTTATTATACCACATGTACTTATTGCAAGGTCATATAGCAACATGACAAATTAAACATCACCCTGTCTCTACATAGACACTAACTTGCTCCATCTCTATATCATTTCATGATAAGTTAAGTCCGAAACTAACTTGCTCCATCTTTACATCATCTCTTGCTAAGTTAAGTCCGACACTAACTTGATCCATCTCCATATCATCTCCTGCTAAGTTGTCTCCTCCTTCAAGCCCTTCAATCTCTTCAATTGTAGCAAGAGCCGGTTCTAGATTTTATTGGTTTTGGTTAATCCAAGTGATGAAGATGGTAGGAAGTGATGGTAGAGTGTGAAGAAGGTAGTTGAAGAAACGTTTGATTAGACTCCGTAGTGCATACCATAGAGATATGATAATGATAAACAAATAGGCTACTAAGAACGTAAGGGTGGCAAAATAAATGAGAATAAAATTGATAGAGCCAAAAGAAGAGAGAACTTTTTAGGATGCAAGAAGATGGGACGACTCGTATTAAGAGGGAGTGTGATGAGTGTGAAGAGGAAAGCTAGTAGTAAAAGAAGAACAAGAATCAATAACAGGATAAATAGAAATGGATATCAAAGAATGTTTTCAGTTTAGGGTTTCATCAGAAAAAAATGAAAATATTTAGCAAGGGAGGGAAAAAAAAAGACTCAAATCAATGGAGAAATTCATGCTTTCGATCAGGACTTCCATAATAGAAAATACCAATGCGAGCACTTTAGGACCAAAGCTAAGTTTATAATAGAAGAGAAGGAAGAAGATGAAGAAGCAAGTGCTTTTGGAGGTTCAAGAGGTGAGGCAGATGCAAGTGAAGTGCATGAGGACTCTATACGGGGCTTTCGGGATAGGAAAATTGAAGAAACATTATTATAATAATGCAAAGTAAAATCAGCTGAAGAAACATGGATTATTATAACATTTTAAGTAAACGTACAACATCCTTTTACCACCCAAAAAGTTTCAAAATACCACTTTTTCACCCAAAGTTCATATTCCGTTGCTATTTAAAACTGATTTTAGCTAATTTTGATGGCAAAAATTCTATTCGTCACCATCATTTGAACCTCCAGTCTATTATCTATAAAACACCTCTTACTCTGGTACCTGATTTCTTTCTGATTGGTGAACATCTCAAAGTTAGGGTTTCTTGTTTTTAAATGATTTCCAGTTGATTCCGACGGCGAATATTCAATCGATCACCACAATTCAATCCACCAGCCTCTACTCGAAAAAACTCCTCTTACCATGGCTTCTAGCAACTCACTGAATGTCGACTGAGTAAGTGAAGTGTATTTTAGGTATTAAGGGAATACAAACTTTGGGTGAAAATATGGTATTTTAAAACCTTTTGGGTGAAAAGTAACCATCAGGGAAAACTTTGAGTGCCTTTTGCAGAACTAATATTTAAATAGA